TCATATCTCGGGCAATATTGAAAGCACAAAAAAGGCAGACCACATTTTGGAAATGGCAGGACAAGGGAAATTTTGTGATTATTATCTCTAGAAATTTACTTCTAAAATTAGGTTGACAAATAAACACAGCAAATTATATCAAAAATCAAGACGACATTTAAGTCGTCCTGCATAATGTCATGTTTCGTGGGACACCCTGTATATCGGATCGTCGTGTATGTATCAATTCAATGAAGACGACTTTATATTTCGATTTTGATTTCTAACAATATTCCAATCTACAGAGACACATAAACAAGGATAAGTGGTCAATTAACAATTTCTTTAGCTTTGTTAACGTGTAAAATGGGAATTTGAAAAACGCTTGTCAGGAATCAAAGCATATTATTAAAAAGTCGTCTTCATTGTATTGATATGAAAGGCGCCGATCACTGTACACACATGTATTGTATCCCGAAGATTGCTGTCGCAATAATCATAATGTTGATACAATAAAATTTTAATTAAATTTTTGAGTTGAAGAATTTTTTACTTAGATATTTAGATTTTAAAGATAGATAGAAATATAAACAGATAGATAGATAGGTATAGAGACAGATTTAAGTTGAAACTTGGTTTTAAATGATTTCATTTTTTAGAACCTCAACAAAATCCTCCTGTGTTAAACGGCAGGTAAGCAAACACTTTCATTCTAGAAACATAAATCAAAATCAGAAGCGCATTCAGGAGGAAGGGGGGGGGGCAAGGGGGGCTCAGTTAAATGGATTGTTTTCAGGGTTTTTAATCCCAAGAGGGTGCTCAGCCCCCCTAAAGAAAAAAAATAAGCCCCCCCCCATGGACAAATTCCTGAATACGCCCCTGATTAAGATTCTGCTTATTTTATTTAGAAAACTTTTCTCCCGGATACAACTTTATTTTGTCTCCCTGATGAAATTTTTTCCAAATGTATTTTCTAGACTAAGTGAACCTGTTCCACCTGGAGAACCAGGCGACGAGCTACCACTTCCAGAGAATAACCAGGTATAGCCAACAACAACCACCCCTCCAGTAACTAATGTTTGTAATGGAAGTAAGTTTTATGCAATTGTGCGTAATTCCGCGCAACTGTGCTTGCAAATACGAAAAAATTGTGTGCAGGTTATTGCGAAAATAATTTTTACTTCTGTTTTCAACAAATTTTGTGTGTACCAATTATATTTTTGATTTTTGATAATTGACCAATCTGATTCTTCGGCAACATATAACCTTTCATATTTCTAGTTCATGGCATATTAATTTTTATTTTTTCTCACCCCCAGCATATTGATTTTCATTTTTTCTAGTGCCCCACATATTCATTTTCATTTTTTCTAGCATATTAATTTTAACCAACTGAAGATCTAATTCTCCTTATTTAACCCCCTGCACTGTCATATTAATTTTCATTTTTTCATAGCCGCTGACAAAGTGATTCTCCTTATTTCTAATTCTAGCCCCTGGCATATTAATTTCCATTATTTCCACCAACTGACAAATTAATTTTCGTTATTACCAGCGATTACCAGCGCCTGAAATATCAATTTTTGTTATTTTATGACACAGCACTGACAAATTAATTTCATAATTTCTAGCACTTGGCTTATCATCTTATTAATATCATGTATCGTTTAGAATAATGGCGAACTAAGAGGAAACACCAGTACTGAACGTCATATGAGGTAAACTTAATAATAAAAAAATTATATTTGTACAAAACTTTGTAAAAGTAAAGCTGTCATAAATACCGCGATATTTTGACCATTACCTTTTTTCAAAACCTGCTGATAAAAATTCCGGGAAATACTGAATAATTCTTGCAAAATATTAATCAAATCACAATAAGTTGTGTATCAGTTTAAAGGATTAACCCTCAAACTGATCCAGAATTACAGTAATTGCCCTCCTAACTTCAATTGATCCTTTAGTCTCTAATGGTAGTTTTTTTTCTCTAAAACCTTAAATAAATTTTCTTAATTTCCCCCATAATCTTTGTTGTATAAACCCGCAAGCTACATTCACATTTAGTTTTGTTGAGACACAGGTTTAAAGGGTATTGCTGTGAATCAGACACTTTATTTATTTTTGTCATCTAGTTACTCTAAATTTTAGAAAACGCTATTTTATATTAAATCATAGTAAACAGATATATATAGTTCCATAACATCTCCCACCAAAACAAACTTATGAAAATTCAATAGATGTTTTAGTTTTGTGCTATTCTTTAGGTTATAAAGACTGTGTTTGCTTGAACCTTGTATAATTAGTTCTATAAAACCGTAATAATATTTTTTAATCCTATAAGCTAAAGATAATATTTCTAGGAAAAAAATCTGTTTGGATTACAGCGCCTCCTCTTGCTCCAGCAGCGACAGGAATCAATCCTGCTTTGGATCCTCCTGGAGTAAAGATCAAAAATCTACAAAGTGGATCCAAGTACTCTTTAAAAACTCTCTAAACTCCCCGCAATCTGAAGTGGACAGAAAATGCATGGAAGAAGATTTGATAAACAAGGAGAATGAGGAGTTTATCAGAAACCATAGCGATGAAGGACGTCTGCAGTTCAGATACAAAGGACCTGTACAGACACAACCCTTGAGACGCCATCTTGGATTCAGAAGAAAGGGAAACAGAAAAGGTTCAATGTGTACACACACCCTCATCTCTACAGAGAACGGGTGTTTAATGGTGGATCAGAACTCGGAAAGATTGCCGCCTCAACAATCAAGAGTTAGTTACAACAAAACTTCAATCAGAAGGGTGATCTCCAATCCCCTGGAGTATCAAACATTTATTAACAGAAAAAGGCCTCTGTTTAGAAGTTCTGTATCCTACGCACCAAATATTGAATGAATGTCAGTTTTGCTACTTTTGATATTGTTTACTACGTCAACAAAGTGATTCTGGAAATTTTCTAAAATTATATTGTTTTTCATTGTATATTACTTTTACTTTTATGTACTACTTGCAGCCAAAGGTTTAATAGTATACTTTTATTGGGAAATGTGTGTGTGGGGGGGGGGGGGCAAATCTTAAAGGAAAATATCATATTTTGTTAGAAGAATACAAGAATTTCATTAGATATAAGATAAATTAATGTCGTCAATGCTGTGATAAAATTGTTTGTTTTGTATCATTGCAAATAAATTTTTCCCTCATGCTTTAAAATAACAAATTGCTTGCATCAAATGAAAACGGGTATATTTATAGCTGTTATCAATCTTTACTAAAGTGATAAAAAAGCTCTGAAATAGCTGTAAAGACGACTATATGACAATACTTAAGTGCAGTTGACATTGTTACAAAGCAAATTGTTTCACTAATTAAGTGAAATGGGTCTTTTTACACAATTTCTGTGTCGCATGTTCATTGGAATATTTAAAGTCGATCATAACTTGAGTCTAAAAGTCGTCTTCCTATTCCAGAGATTTCTGGTTATTACTGTATATAATACAAATATAATTGTTTAATAAGAAGCAGAACATACTTGCTCAATTTGAGTTTTGAAAACATAATGTACTCGCTTCTAACAATTTTTATTTATCCCTATATCACTGGAACCTGATCGTGTAAAAGATTAATAGTTACCATTTTGGCCGTCTGAAGATCTAGTAGAATTTAAATCTGATAATATCAAATGTCTCTACATCGGTTTTAATTTCCAAATCCTTGTAAACAGCTGAAAAAACCTCTTCTTAAATATATATATATATAAATATAAATGTAAATGTATATATTTTTTCCTCGTAACTAATCAATCATGAACCGTTTCTGTTGTATTGTGATAAATGAATATATTTAGTGTACCTGTCCTTCAAATACAGTTTAAATAAATGTTTAAAATTTAATAATATTGTTATTATTTTCATTGTTGTAATTATTGTAATTATTGTAATTATTGTTTGTTGAATTCACTTTTGCATACAAATATAGTTTTGTTAACCCATAAAGAACTATTGATAAGCTGGTTTTATAACAAAACAAAGTCTCTTTTTTAAAATAAAACTGGAAGACACTGCAAATTAAAGACAAAGACAACACTACTTGTACAATTTTGTGACCTTGTAGCTCCTCTAGTTTTGAATTTACGAACAATTGTAAGAAAAACCTTATTTATACCTGTATTAGTTCTCCTAACAGCTCTACAGCTAGAGTAGTTCTGATTAAAAACTTAAAGGATTTCAATCTCACGTAAAATCTTACTTGAGGAATGAGGAGTTATAATCATTTTGCGTTATTCATTCAGCAGTATGCTTTTCCGATTTTATATAAAATGGATCAAATTGATCATATCGTGATTTGTAAAAAATGTAAAAGATTAGTTATGTTGACTTACAGGAGCCTATACTTTGCTTGTAACACAAGTAAATTAATTAAATTCTTATTGATTACAAAAATTAATTTACTAAGAAATAATTGTAATTTCTTTATATCTTATTTTTCGTTAGTTTTCCCGATATGGGGCTTATTCTGTAATAAATCAGGGTTGTTGCAAGATTTCTTATGTGCAGGGTAAAACCAACTAGGTTGTATAGTTGGTTCAAAATGAGCCTTCATGAGACGACTTGACCACCCTTTCACCACATTACCAACCCTATGATTAAGGTTTCCAGCGAAAAGGAAAAGTCGTTTCATATTTCATTTCATATTTTTATTCAACTACAAAGCACGAGATAATACAAATAAAAAAACACAATTTACTATGTAGTTTGGACCCGCCTAACCAGAGTAGGTTGTTTTAATTGGTTGGCCCACTATAAACGAATGAGAATTGCAGATAAAAACAATGTACATTGTACATTTTAAACATAAGAATGATAATAAATCAGGTAAAAGGTAAGGAGGAGGTGAGGGAGTATAAAGAAAAGGGAGGATACTCAGCGTAAGGGTTGGAACAGAGGGTAACATAAGTTATTAGAATCATGTTTATGAACTACAGGGTGAAGAAGATAGTAAAGACTAAGTTTATCCACATGATACACAGTTTTTTTTTTTACAGATATAATTTGCATAACTATCTAAATAGATCTTGGCGACTTTTCTTTTGAACGATTTTGCAGATTTAGTTTCTTTAAGCTCTAATNAATCCGGAATATAACTAGACAATCTGGGTCCAATGTTCACAAAAAAGTCATTAAAACCCTCTGCTATTTCAGCAGATCCCACAAAACTTTTTTCATCATCAGTGAAAATATCAGGAACTGAATGACTTTTTTTCTTAGAAGATATAATAGAGTTCAGTAAAGACCAGGTCTTTTTGATGTCTTTTGAGTATTCTGTAAATTTTGAAGAAAAATAACTAGTCTTGGCCTTTTTTATTGTTGTGCGATAAACAGAATTATATTTTCTAAAAGTTTCTAAATTGTTTGTAGTTGGATTCAGGATTTTTTTCTTAAATAATTTTTCTTTTTGTTTTCTTGACACTAGCAAGGCGGATGTGAACCAAGGGTTAACAGAATTTTTATTTTTGTTTGGTTTATATTTGATAAATGGAAAGCTTTCTTCATAAATATTATTTAAAGTGTTAGAAAATTCAGAAAAGGCTGTAGAAGGATCTTCGCGAAACTTTTTTTTTTTTTTGACCATTTCGCTTCATTTTCGGTATACGAAAATTTTTGCTTTTTTCGTGAAGTTTTGCTTCAATCTGTTTCGCGAACAAATGCGAAATTGCAAAAAAATACGAAAATCGCGCGAAAAAATAATACGAAAATTTGGCAATAAAATTAAGGTGTTAAAATTTTAGCTTTGAAAGTTGCGAAAATTCATCAAAAGAGACGAAATTTTGAGAATAAAAGACTCATTTTTAAAAAGGGATTTATCCGCGAGCCCAATTGATGGATTAACACAAAATATAGATACAGATTTAAGAACGACTAGGAGACGTCAGACAATTCATAGATTTACTTGAAAATACTTTCTCTACCGTTAAGATATTTCTTAATCCTTAAAACACAACATAAAATCTACTATGGGAAGAACAAAAATAATTTGGAATATTATAAATTCACCCTGTTTTTACATGATTATGATTATGACATAATCAGAGCAGAGAATTCCACAAGTTCTTAAGAGCAATTAATTGTTGCAGCTAAAATTTTCACATTTCGAGAAAGAGTTTATTTTATGAAAAGGGTAAATGGCTGTAAAGATGTGTCTATAATGTCTCCGAAAGATGAACAGTGAAGACGGACAAGTTTACTATGTTTGTATACTGCAATTTTCTTGTTTTACTAAGTACAACCGTATGCAGTCAAAACATAAACAAACAAAATGTGAACATAGCAGACGAAACTCTTACATATTACAGCTTTCTCAGTAGGTATCACTATACTATTTCAAAGTATTAACTGAAAAGTCGATATCGAATTCGTCACTGAATTCCCATGTTTAATGGGACACCCTGTAAATTAAGATTGAATTCAATTGAGCCAAAATCTCTATTCGAGAAGGTTGAAGAGTATTTGCACTGGACGTGAAAAAATTAAAAGCAAAATTAAATCATAAATAGTAAATTGCAAAAAGAAAAAAGGCAAAATTTCAGTTGACCTAGGGATTAGATCCTTCACTTCTCATGTCTATTAATTAATATAGGGTTAGCTACATAGGCGACTTGAAAGTCGACTGAACGGAATTGAATTCCAAAGTGAATAAATACTAAAGTGGACCAAACTCATAGTTGGATGACGACATTTTATGTCCCAAGTATTTAGAAATATGTATATATATATATATATAAATTGGTCTGTATACGGAGTGTACAGTACAACAGAAACTGGACTCCCTTTGTTTACAAACACTGACTTAGAATTTGAATTTAACTTAATTAAATATAGATTAACGTAAATTAAGATTTCAGAAGTGAATTTTAGCCATTTTACTGCACAATAAATAATTTCAGACAGCACAATAATCCCTGCATGCATAATCTGTATAACAAGGAATGCAGAATTTGTGAAATCGAAAAATAAAGATCTTCGAAATATATCTCTTGGTCTTTACTTTTTTGACAGATTTAAGAGTAGTTGAGAACTAGACATAGCTTTAATGATATTAAGAGAGGCGTATTCAGGTTATTTTTTCCAAGAGGGGTTTACATTTATTTTTCTTTTTAGGGGGGGGGGGGGCAAAAAAAAACTAAGCAGTTTTAAAGATAAATTCTTATAGAATTAGAATTGCAAGCCTGACAGGCAAAATCAATGAATTTATTAAGCGACTATATAGTATTTGCATATAAAACACAAACAAACATTTGAAAATTTTCAATTTTTGATTATGAAAATTTTGAAGTTCTAGCTGAAGACGACATATACATGGGTCCTTAGTCTATTTTTTCTAGTCTTTACTTTCCAAATGAAATATTTTCATGCAAGTATTTCCAAACCAAATAAAACCTTATGGCCCAACCTGTCGTCATTGCCTTAGTCTGTTCCACTTTAGTATTTATTCACTTTGATTGAATTCAAGGTTCCACTATCTATTACATGTTTATTTCATTGTCTAATCGATCATAATAAAAAACGACTTCATTTTAAAGCAACAGATAAAATGTAATCTTAAAAAAGTCAGATTTAATAAATTTAAGTTCGTCATTAAGAGTCTCATTCTTTTAGGGTAACCCTGTGGAAAAGGAAATTCACAGAACATCCCCTTTATTAGTCTTTTTTATCTATCCTTCAAACCTACTGAATTCACCAACTGTATATTCAATAATAAAGAACATGAATTAAACTTGTATAACAAGACAATAACAAGATATGTAGAAACAATATGATCAATTACTTCAAGCGCACTGGGGTTTAATAATGATCTCTTAGTAAAGTCAAATGCAAATAATTGTTCTAAATATTTCACAAAACATCTACAATCTTTCTTAGTGTCCAACTGAACTTGATCGTTATTTTTGTATGACTTTATGGACTATAATATAAAAGACTCTTGTTCTTAACATTTACAAAATGTAGTCTTAAATGTAGTCATCGATTGCGTTCAAAATTCACAGTTTTCCCAAGAAGACCAAATTGAGGTATTTACGGGATTGAACGTAATTTCAAGTGACCTTAAATTAAAAGATGAGCATGACCCACTTTACCACCTTTTATGATTAAAATGTAGAAGATATAGTCTTTCTTCCTCTTTGAAAAGTGTTTATCTAAGACCATTTTCTCCATATTGTTTCAAATTAAGAAATACGCAATATTCATTAAAAATAATCAGTTTTTCAAAAGGAGACGATGGATATCTCTTACACCCATATAAAACAAAGCTTTACAAGTTAATATATTACCATTGTGAATCGGCCGTGCCCCTTTAGAGATGAGAGTCATGTGAAATTACGTCTCTAGTCCTTATATCAGCTATATAAGCGATCAGGATTCAGCTGTTTAAATATTGAATGTGATTAAATGCATATCATTTAAAAAAATCTAACAACAATTTCAATTTCTGACTTAGAACCAAACTTTTCAGAGAATACAAAAATGACATAATACAAAAATCTTTGTTTTAACTAACGATACATATAAATCCGAAAAAGTGTTGGCACAGGTTCTGGACATAAATAGAAAAAGAGAAAACCATTTATAAGTCTAAATTCTGATATGCATGGTTTTAAACTGTACTACGACCAGAAAGTAATATATGAGTTGAGCACGATAGATAAATATTAATAAAAACTAAAAAATTAAACTTAGCTTATCGTTAAGAGTTCTCTGCCATTATTTATGATAATTTTAATACATATTTTCTTATAATTTTTCTCTTTTAAACTAGCTAGCAAAAATCAATAAGATAAATGGAAAATTTCCAAAAAATGAATTATGTAATTTTAGCTTCTTTGAAGCATAAAATAATCTTAGGTACTCCACACAACTTTAAATTTTCTGACTGGAAATACGAATTTATAGGAAGGAGTTTGATTAAAAATAAACCCGTGATAAGTTTATGGGTTTATTGAACAAACGCAATAATAGGTTCTATTCTAGATATTATACCTAATGAATTTCTCAAGTCTTTGGTAAGTGCGGTCGAAATCAATTTTTCCTGGAATAAACATCGAATAGAAATAAAAACGACACCAATCGAGTTCTAATTTGATTCGAATGAATATCAAACAACCCTTTCATATTCACGAACACACTTAACTGATACGCCGTTTTGGGGTTAAATGTACCACTAATACTCAGTTTTGTTTGCATGTCTTCCTTACAAACTGTTTAAAGCATCAGCTCTCCTGTTATTTGTTCTAAGTTATCTAATCCGTTATTATGATTAGCTGTCGTCACCTCCTCATCAGGACCTTAACAGACAAATTTGATTTAAATTATCATTTAAAATGTATTATATTGCTGCTATTTCAGTTTCATTTGGAACCCTTTCATTTAAGATACAAAGCGTACCATCTCATATTAGATTATCTCCAAGATTTAACGCTGAAATACGTACATAATACTCGAAAAAACTGGTGTTTTTTGCGTGCAAAATTTTATATAAAGTTTATACCATTTTGTAAGATGATTCAATCTTTTTAAATTTTCTGATTATAGTTCCAAAATTCGCAATTTAGAGCCATAAACGATCCGAAATTATGTGGGACACCCTGTGTGTGTAAAATATTTTCTTATATAGCGAAGGCGACAAAAATCGAAACAGCGGAAACTTTCTAGAAACAATGACGTTACTGAGCGGAGAGAGGTTGTCTGAAAACCTTCTAGAACCTTCTCTAGGCGAAGTGATTTCACCTATAGCTTCTAGTTTAAATGCCATACACACACATTGATTTCTCTAGAACCTTCTCTTAGCGGAGTAATGTTTACATAGTGTGGTTTCTAATTAAGATGCAGTACGCCTTAATTTCTCTAGAACCTTCTCTAAGCGGAGTAATATTTACCTAGTGTGGTTTCTGATTAAGATGCAGTACGCCTTGATTTCTCTAGAACCGTGGAGTAATGTTCCCCTAGTGTGGTTTCTAGTTAAGATGCAGTACGCCTTGATTTCTCTAGAACCGTGGAGTAATGTTCCCCTAGTTTTGTTTTGTATCATNAGTTTAGATGCAGTACACCTCGACTTCTTTAGAACCTTCTCTAGGCGGAGTAATATTTACCTAGTGTGGTTTCTAGTTTAGATGCCGTAAACATTGATTTCTCTAGAACCTTCTCTAGGCGGAGTAATATTTACCTAATTAGGTTTCTAGTTTAGATGCCGTACACCTCGACTTCTTTAGAACCTTCTCTAGGCGAAGTAATATTTACCTAGTGTGGTTTCTAGTTTAGATGCCGTACACCTTGATTTCTCTAGAACCTTCTCTAGACGTTTTATAAAAGAATCAATATCCTCTGGATCCATTCCTAAAAAAACGTTTAATTTGGTTGTTTTAACATAAAATAACAGTTTTTCCCAATCTCAGATAAAATTATAAAATTTAATTGGATTAATATTCTAATATAATTTATATGTCTCTTGAAGATACAAACTGAAAACTAAGTGACAAATTATAAATAGTCTTCATTTTACGCGACATTCCTTCTCAAATCTAAAAACATCATATTTCACTTAGTCTGGGCTTTCCAAAATGTGATCTGCCCTTTTTTCTATTTCTTTACACTTCTTCCTTCTCAAAAATCGATGACAACGCCCGTTATTAGATTTTTTTTTTTTAAAGACACCCAGAAGCTTTCTGAGACATGAAAAATTAAATAATGTCAAGGAAGTTAAAGTGATCCTATATTTTTAGAGTTACATGACCGATTCACGATGATACGCTTTAATTTTTTATCTCAGCTACAATATGGAGAAATGGCATTTTTCTAACTTAAACAGAACGTTTCTGTTTATGTATCCAGTTTAAAGTACAAATTCTTTATTCATTAGTTTTCAAAGAAACGATGATTTCTCTTTTTTTATTTTTCGCTTCAGAATCAAACAAAGAATGTAAGAACTAATGCACAGTAATATTCTTCAAAGAATTGTAAAAATATTTTATATAACGCAATAACTTTGATTAATTTTTTTGGGTGAATTTGAAATTCAACAGATATCTTAAAAACAGATTGTCTATATTAACAGATATTACCGTTATAATAATAATACTATATTTATATATATATATAAACCATAGAAATAAAAATTGTTATTAATATGTTTATTTATGTTTTATTTTTATGTTCTTGGCACTACAGCTTGTTCTCACTGAACCTCCTAGTGTTAGGGTTTCCAAATTTTTGTTCAATCTCTTTCGCGAAAATTTCGTTCAGGCAATAAAAAAGTGAACGAAAAGGAAAATTTTCGTTCATTTTCGCGAAATATGTTTGAAATTTTCGCAAACTTCGCAACAATTTTCGACCTTTCTTTCAAAATTGCATTCTTTTTGCAAAATTTTCAACAACCCATTTTCGCGAAAATTTTTTTACTAACAATTTTGATAAAATATTAAGAATTTTAGAATTTTTGTTAAAAAACTTTTTGGTTAAGAACTGTTTACTTTATGTCAAAGTTGAAAACTAAATTTGCTTATTTTTACATCCCTTACACAATACAATAGTAGTCGTTACAGAAATATTTAAATAAAAATTTAATCTCAGAGATTATTTACCATAGATTCACATTAAACATGATACTCAGTAATTTTTAAATAGTCATGTTCAGTTGAACACCCTAGAAGACACAGACCCCCCCCCCCCTCCCACCAATTTATTAAATGATTGATCAAAATATTTACCAATAGCTGCTGCTGCAGTAAGATAAGCATTAAAAGGTCGACCAGTGTGTCCACCCCACCCTTCAAACCTGTACCCCTCGATATCCTGATATAAACAATCCATCAATCAAACATGTACCCCTTGATATCCTGATATATCCAATCCATCAATCAAACATTAACCCCTTGATATCCGGATATAAACAATCCATCAATCAAACCCTAGATGTCCTGATATATATATAATCCATCACTCAAACCTGTACCTCTCGATATCCTGATAAATACAATATATCAATCAAACCTGAAACCCTTGATATTCTGATATAAACAATCCATCAATCAAACCCCTACCCCTTGATATCATGATATATACAATCCATTTATCAAACCTGTACCCCACGATATCCTGATATGTACAATCCACCAATCAAGCCTGTATCCTAATATGAACAATTTATCATTCAAACCTGTACCCCTCGATATCCTGATATATACAATCCATCAATTAAATTTACCCTTTAAATAACTTGATATAAACAATCCATCAATCGAACCTGTACCCCTCCATATCCTGATATAAATACAAAACATTATACAATCCATCAATAAAACAACCAATAAATAATTAATGCATCTAATGGACCAATTAATAATTGACTCCAATTTAAGCAAAACGCAAATCATTTTCAAATAGTTCTAACATTTCTCAAATTAATCCATAAAAGTAACGTTCAATCTTTTGAATATTATTGTACAATCTTTCAACTAATCTTTGAATCAATCATTTAACTAAGAATTCAATCAATCAGTCAATCAATCATTTAATTAATCATTTTCAATCGTTCAATCAATTATCAATCAATCATTTAATCAATCATTTAATCAATAAGTTAATCAATCATTTTATCAATCATTTAATAAATCATTTAATAAATCATTTAATCATGCACTTAATCAATCGTTCAAAGAACCTTACAATCAATCAGTCAATCAATCATTTAATCAATCATTAAATCAACCATTAAATCAATCATTTAATCAATAATTTAATCAAACATTTAATCAATCATATAATCAATCGTTTAATCAATCGTTCAATTAATCATTCAATCAATCGATCAATCAATCATTCAATCATGCATACAATCAGTTGTTTAATTAATCATAAAATCATTCGTTCAATTCATCATTTAATCAATTACTCAATCAAATTAAATCCTTCAGCAACATTATTAAAAAGCTCAAACCTTGATCTTATTAATAAAATAAAATATTCACCTTAGAGGTCATTGTGACAACTCTGGTGCCTGAGACTCCGCGAGTAAACAGCATAGAACCCAGATGAGTGGCAGCCTTTCCCTCACTCCCAACAGTTAGAGCGATAGATATAGTGTTATTCTAAACAAATATAGTGTTATTCTAAACAAATATATTGTTATTCTTAACAGATATGACGTTATTCTAAACAGCTATGTGTTATTTTTTTTTACAGATATAGTGTTATTTTTAACAGATATGGTGTTTTATCTAAACAGATATAGTGTTATTATAAACAAATATAATGTTATTCTAAACAGATATAGTGTTATTCTAAACAGATATGGTGTTATTCTTAACAGATAAGGTGTTATTCTTAACAGATAGAAACAAATGCAGTGTTACTATAAACAGATAACGTGTTTTTATAAACAGTTATAGTGTTTTTATAAACAGATGTGGTGTCATTCTAAGCAGCTATGGTGTTATTCTAAACAAATAGAAAGCTATTCTAAGCGGCTATGGAGTTATTCTGAGTAGAAAAAGAATATTAAAATATTTTCAATCCGTGCTTAGGATCCATTTAAATTTGATGCAGATCCGGATCCGGATCCTGGATCCGTACTGGAAAATAATGGATCCGGATCCAGGTCATTTCTTTAAGATTTACTAAATATTTTTTAGCAAAAAAATAATTTTCAAATTTTTGTAACAACAATAGTTAGGTTGAAAGTGTAATAGTCATTTAATTTAGTTGGTATTTTCCTTGCATTTTAATGTTATGACTTCGATTTATTTGGATCACCCTGTAATTGTCCTATAGTTTTAAAAATTACTGTCAAGAAAAAAGAATTAGAATTGTTAAAAATTTTAGGGTACCGTTCTTAATCTGACATTCCACTTTTATAAATAGAGGACCACATGAAAATACGTCATACTGGTCCTTTAAGTAACAAAAAAACGACTTTAAGAAATGATCTTTGAAAAGTGGAGTACATGGCCTGTACAATTAGTANCTGTAACATATGAATTGATCTTTGAAAAGTGGAGTACATGGCCTGTACAATTAGTAAAAGATTAGCGTGTCTTCATCACTCTATATACTATAACCTCGTTAGGTTTAGCGGAGAGAGATCGTATAACATGAAACATTTTCAGTAACAATAATAGTTGAAGTAGAAAAGAAAAGGTCAGAGGGTATAAACATGATTAAAGGAGCTTTCAGGGGAAAACGGAATAAGAAAGTTTAAAGGCAGGGATGTATATTTCCCTTAAAAATCATTCCCCCTCTTTTTTTACAAAATCATTAATTTTCCCTGCAAGTTAAAAATGGGTTTTTATATGTAGCATAAAAAACATTGAAAACTGTTCGCTCTCAAACACCAAACCTTTATATGAATGGTAAATAAAACTTGGCAAAAAGAAAAGGAAACTTTAAGATTTATTTTTCGTAAAAGAATTGAAAAAAAAAAATATTTCGGAAAAGAAAAAAAAATTACAATTTATGGATTCATTCATATGGATCCGTTTTATTACGGTACGGATCTAGTGTCCAGTACTTAATGAATCCAGACTGCTATGAAAGTTATAATTTTTTAAAACTGGATCGAAAGTGTCGCATCGCCTTTGTCTTTGGTTTTAATTAACTTCTATATGTTTGTAGCCCTAGACATAAGCATAATTTAGAAGTATTTGGCTTAAATGTTTAAGAAGTAAAAATTCTCATTAATTTTAGCGTGTGAGCTAGCCACCTTTAGATGACTGTGTAAGTGTACTCACCTTGGTCTTGAGAAGGTGTAGTCCAAACCTCTCAGCAATCCTCTCCATCCTTTCCTGGAGCAGGAGGAAGTTGTTCTTCCTGGTGGCGAGGAGGGTCTTGAACCCAGCAGCTCCCAGTCCCAGGAGGGTTATAAATATATCCAGGCTAGGGGTCCCTGATCCACGACCTAAATACAATAAATGGGGGATACAGTCAGTATCCAATAATCGTTCAAACGGCTAAACAAATTGGGCATAAAATTGTATAAATCGAAATTACTTTTCTTGCTAAATAATGATTCGATACCATTTCCCCTGTTATTATTACAAAACATAATAAAACATAAACATTATAAACTTTGTGTGCTGGGTTGTCCCCCCCCACCCCCCCTATGATCCTTTCTTCTTCTTTTCCTCTCTAATCTTCAATACCTTTTCCTCTATCTACTCCTTTTCTTCCTGTTCCTTTAATTTTAAATAGTTTTTGATTTATTTTGTTTTATTTAAATTTAACATGTATGAATCGCTGCAGAAGGGCCTCTAATTCAAAACAACCAACAATGGTTAGAGAGGCCCTAGCTAAATTTGTACCTAAAAACCGGAATTAAGGATATTACCCACCATAATACTGGCACAATTTATATTGAAAAACAGGAATTAAGGATATTACCCACCATAATACTGGCAAAATTTGTATTGAAAAACAGGAATTAAGGATATTACCCACCATAATACTGGCACAATTTGTACCTAAAACAGGAAAACATACATTTTTTTTTCAAAAATAAAACGAGGAAAATGCGGAGAAAATGTTGTTTTATTTTTTATTGTTTACATTTTGAAAATACATACTTAGAGTTGATTACTAGGCTGACCTCGATCGAAATCACAAGAAAAAAGCTCCAAAAATAAAGGCGTGACCACTGACACAAATTTTCAGGGGGGGGGCCCCCCCTGAAAATTTGTGTCATTTTCTGGGAAACGCGCTTATTTCCCTTTATACTTCTGAATGAATGACCAGGAAGGATAGAAGTTAATATTACCTGGTTATTTCCAGTAAATATATCTAGTTAGGCTTTTCTTGTAAAAAAGTAGTTAAGTGTCCTATTTTTCATATTAATAATCTCCCATAAAGTTGGGTTAATACAATATATGTTCAAAAATCAAAAATGTACGAAACATAACAAATTTTCCATTTTTGAAACGCTCTTGACCCAGCAAATTCAAAAATGCAAAATTTTCTAAACCTGTGTGTATTTGAGAAAATATGAAAATTCACGATAAATGAGTCTTTAAAGTTTTCCATACTTTATGAACAAATGAAAATGAGACGTGAAAAATCGAAAAAATGAAAAATCCGGGAAATCGATTTTCGACTTACGCTCAAATAATTGGTTGTAACAAAAAAGTATGAGGCCTAGAAAGAAAATTTTCACATCATGAAATAACTAAAATATAGAGCTTTCGAATGACACCTTGATCGTAAAAATTGAACGAAAATTGTTTCCTCATTTACTAATACCCCTACTGCACAGTTTTTTTGAGACACCCTGTAGTTGAGAGAATTATTTTTGAAAAACCTGTGCTTCCGTTAGACCTAGTTTAAAACCAATGACTGGAAGAAGGTCTAAATGTAGATTTAGTCTGGCTTAGAAAAATTAAGGAATTCAGGCATAACTGTGGACTCAGGCAGTAGGTATAAAGCCCAGCCTAACGTAACAGGCAAGTAGGGTCATAACAATTTGAACAGCAAAAGGCAAAAACAAGATACCCCCCCCCCCGATGTCCGACTTTTAAAAAAAGTTCCAAGGCAAGAGTTACCTGGATAGGTTTGTCCGACCTCAGCTATTATCTTCCGGTCAAACCCTGCTATAATAGCTCCTCCCACCGGCACAAGATAATTCTTATCTGTACTCTAAAAATATCTAATATATCTTATCTATAAAGCAGAGTGTCAAAATGTAGATGTCTGTATGTACAGGGTCTACCAAAATGTATATGTCTGAATGTACGAAGTCTACCAAAAAAACGCTCTTAAAGGAACAAAGTCAATTTTTACATTAGCCATATCTAGTGCGAGGGGGGGGGGGGGATATATATATTTTTAGTGTTTTACTTATCTTAAACATTTTAATTGATTAATTTGGGCTTAACATTAGGAATCCGTAAAAAAATTGTAGATTTGCGAAAATATATCATTTTGTGAGAATAGTTTTCTAGAAAATATATCATTTTGTGAGAATAGTTTTCTAGAAAATCCCCAGAAACGTCACCAATTAAAAATGTTTACCTGGACGAATAGATCCAGCCGGCCAACCCTGGCAGCCTCGTCGATAAGAAAACAGCATTTACTGCTCTGAACTCCGTAGGCGTTATTCACTTCAAATTATTTAAAAATTATTAAACATCGTTAACATGAAATTCATTCTTGATCTTTATATTTTTTTTTCTAAAAAATAAGCTGATAAGAATTTTCCAAAGGTGGAATTTTTCAGAATAATAAAATGTTTGATGATCAATTACCATGATTCAACAAATATCTAAATATCTATACCTTATTATCAAGAATATTCTGATTGGTATCAAAATAAGACCAAATCAAATGATTACTTTTCTAGAAAATTCATCAGGGGTGGATTTACTAAGAGTTGATCCCCCCCCCCCCCAATTTTTAAAGTCAGTTTGGTAGCGCACGGTCGCACCCAGATTTTATGAGCAACCTTTTTTAACGAGAATTCATCTTTTCAAATTTTTTCTTCCCTGTTTTAATTTTCTTGGATTCTCTTCCCAATTACTACTTCCCAGGAATTAAATCCTTTCCCTTCTTTATGGGGAATACAAATGAAACTAAATTGAATTTTCTTCCCTCTTGCTTTTTCTTTTTTATTTGAGCTTCCGCTCTCCTCTTCACACTTTTCCTTTATCCTGTTTTCTAAAATTTACCCCCCCCCACTTCCCCCTTTGATCTAAGACAGAGGCAACAACAACATTTTAAATTTGCAGTTTTTTATTCTAACCGTACCATTATCTCAATCACCTGATAAACATTTGTAGATTTTTTAATGTAAGATTCGGCATTTCTTATTTAATTCAGAGAAAACAATACAAAAATGTACGTAATTGTACACCAAGTGTACAATAGTAACATTTCTTAATTTTTTCATTAAATCTTTTTATAAATAAAGTTCTTTATCCCTGAATTAATAGAATCGGAATTTATATGCGTTTCTTGTTGCTACCTCAAAAGAACTGAAGAATCCATTCTGAGGCGTACACAGGCGTACAAAGTCCTCTTGTGTACGCCCCTGAATCCATTTAGTGACTTACCTAGGTGCGGGATATTATTCTCTTTGCAGATTTTCCCGATTTCAGGTAGATCGTCATGAGCTCTCGGGGCAAAACAGCTGTTACGGGGTAATAATTGTAATGTCAGCTAAACTATAAAACATTTCCTTTTCAATCATCTTGAAAAGCGAGAAAAAAGTTCGGAAAATATTTCAATTTCATTGAACTCAAAATTTAATTTAATTTGTCTTCGTTAGACCGAACCTTGGTCCATGCTTTTTTAAAATGTTCATAAACCAAATAAATAAGAAAAAGGTGGGGAAAATTGCTCTTGCATTATGAAAATTTCATAGATTTAAAATTTATAAATTTTAGTTTATTACTCTTCCTTGTTGTCGAGAAAATACATATAATATTTTCAGCTCCAAGTTCATCAACTTTCAATTTTAAAGCGTGCAGGTCAGTCTGAAGCTCGTCATCCAACCTGGACCATCAGACAACAATATGGACCAATCATACAACAATATGGACCAATCATACAACAATATGGACCAATTATACAACAATATGGACCAATCATACAACATTATGGACCAATTATACAACAATAAGAACCAATCATACAAAAATATTTAACGTAATAATCTTACAACAATATATACCTTCTCAAATACTTAATTGAACAGCAAAACAAACAAAAAATTATAAATTTATTAAGTGGCTTGGTCGCCCTATATATTTTCATATAAGATAACGAGCTTGATGATTAGATATTCAATGAAAGAAAAATGAGAGATAAAACTTTTAAGTAAGAAATCAGCAACAACTATGGATAAGGGCAAAAATGCATAACAATACATACAACAATATGTACCACAATATGGAGTATGGACCAACCAAATAACAATCATACAACATTATGGAACAATCACATAATAATATGGACCAATCAAACAACATGGACCACTAATACAACAACATAGATCAATCAAACAACAACATGGACCAATCAAACAACAATATGGACCAATCATACATTAATATGGACCGATCATACAACATGGACCAATCATACATTAATATGGACCAATCATGCAAAAACATCGACCAAATACTAACCTAAACTGTGGATCATCGTCCATCATTCAACTATTTGGACCAAATACTAAACTAAACCCTGAACCAACATACAACATGGACCAAAAACTAAAAACTAAGCCTTGGAACACCACACAACTATATTAACCTTAATACAAAACTGGAATATGGACAACCTTACTGTGATAATATGGACCAAATACAAAACTAAACACTGGACCCTCATACAGCAATTCTAAACTAAAAAATAATCTAAATCAAATAAACCAGAAAGTAAAGAATAGGCATCCAAAATGTTAAAATATTTGTTTGTCCAAACTGTTTCCTTTTAAGCTGAAGTATGACTGGAGTGCAACCTGCAGTTAGTATACTCTTGAAACAAGACTTCTGATCAATCCTAGACCAGAGAACATACCTAGCCTACAATTAATCAGATAGTTAGCAAATAAACCAAATTGGACAAAGGATATAACCACTAACTAGTCTCCTGGAGTATTTAATAACTCTTGTGATAATAGAGATAAATGGTGTTAACTATGTCCATAAAATCTTTCAACCCATAAGGTGCAGGAGGCGTAAATACGGAGGGGGGAGGAGGCTGGTATGGTTTAAAAGTTTTGGGGCACCCTTCCCCCCCTTTTTACGCCCCCGATGAAGGAAAAAAATTTGAACATTATTTCTGTCCTAGAGTCTCTAATCTTATTCTAATATTTATCTCTGATATCGCTTACAGTCCCAGTCCCAATTTTATTTAAATGTTTTGACGTCGTTTTTAAATCCTACGACGAATCTAAGTTATATTTTTATACTGAAATCTGTCTTGTCTTAAGATAAGAAAAATTATAAAACTAATATTTTTACCTTTGGTCTTTTCTTTCTAAAATACAACATACAAAGAGTTAGAGCCATCCCGGTAGCTGTTGGAACTAAAATTTATTTTTCTAAATAATGACAAAGACAACAACAACGACGATGACGACGACAACGACGACAACAACAACAACAAGAACAATAATAATCAGATTAAAATCTGATAATACTGATAATATAATAATAATGATAATAATTATGACGACGACGACAACAACAATAACAAAAACAACAACAACAACAATCATATTAAAATCTAACCTAAAAAGCACTGTTTGACCCTACTAACTCCTCCAAGTTTTAAAGTATCCAGCAACATACTAAACAAAACTTCTTTCAAAACTTTTTCCCCAGTTTTATTAAAACCAAATCAAATATAAAATGTAGAGATTTTCCAACAGCACAGCATCCAAGTTTCAGAATTACGGAGTTTCAAGTTCACGACAAAATTTTGCCATGTTGCCATATTAGAGCAGTTTAGATTTGCCAACCTAAACTATAATTTGACCAATAAACTATATTTTTGAGATTCTTATTCGCAGAGTTTGGTCTTCTTGGAAAAAATAAATTTTCTGGGAAAAAGTATCAAAATAAGGTGAAAAAAGTCTGAAAGTGGAATTTCCATTTTTCTAAAAATCTTAAAAAAATATAAATGAAATTAGAGCCTTGAGTTGCTGTATGGTTAGAATTTTTTTTTGGCCAAGCAGGGGTTAGATGGGAAATGGAATTAAGTTGTTATTGAACTTTCATAACCTTTATCTAAGAAAAGAAAACATTATTGTTTCCACAGAAATAACCAAATTGAAAAATAAGCTGAGTTCTCTATTTGTATTCTCTGTATAAATGAAATCATTCATTTGGAAACGTCGCCCCGGAGATCGAAACTTTTGTGTGGTTATTGTTAATCTTAAAAGCTTGATCTCGCTATCCAATAAGAATCAATGCTTTATGACCATCACGGGATGACGAAGAGAAATTAAATTTATCCGTAAGTCTGCATGAGACGGAGAGTAATACTTGATCACGAAAAACTTTAATCTGTTTAGCTAATATCTAATTTCGAAAATAATTAACTTTTTTTAAATAACAAAATTATTGACAATTCTTTTCTTTTTATTCGTTTACTTGGTTTTCTTGGTTATGAAAATCTGAACAGTGTCGTAGGACGCTGATGTTTTTGCATGCAAACTCAAAAATATGTATTGTAACTGCAAAATTCAGTTTTATAAAAATCCGAGCAAAACTGCGCTAACCTTTTGTTGGAAAATGAATGGAATAAATCATAATAAGTAATGTACAATGAAATTATATTGAAAGACATTAAATCATTCATTATTTGAACATAATATAAAAGATGTGAAGTTCAATAATGGAATGCATCTGGATATATTTTACTAAATAATTATAAATGAATAATGTCAGTAATTAAAACTTTTCATAGGAAATTATAATTGATCGTTGAGGTAATTGTTTTGTTCGGATAAAAGTGTTTTTTTTTTTTAACTAGGAATTAATTCCTGACAACTTGTTAAAAAGAAGTGTGGAGGATTAACAAGAGAGAACAGCCACCTTTTATTTAAATAGCCGGTGTAAATGTTTTCCCCATCCTTTCTCTATTTAAGGCGTGGTTTTAATCTCTAATATCACACGTTGTTTAGAATTCCCACAACCCGCACTTCCCCTGAAAGATTCTAGTTGTGCCCATTAACAATTAGCATGTCAACATTAAAAATACCTGTTTGTGAGCTTGTTAATGATGCTTGATCCTGCTGCCTTGGGCTGGACCTGATAAACATCAAATTCAAACTGTAAAGGTGACGACGACATAATTTCAAGTGAACCACCATTTTAAGAGTTACAGACTTGTTTCACAACATTAACCATTTAAGTTTTATTTAAGTAACTATGAGAAATATATACAATAGTTAAAAAAAAAATACAATAAAGAATTAACAAGTTATAAAAAGAAAAGCAAAACTATCTTTACTTTTATTTTGCTACGAAAAAGATTAAACTTTTAAAGGTTCCAATGTGTACTATGTGTACTGTACTGGGTACCATTGTGTACTGTGTAGCCGGAATGTAACTCAGAACTCTAAAAATGGCGAGTTACGTGAGATCACGTCAATGCTAAAGAAGAGTTACATGAAATCACGTCAACACTAAATCTCTGAAAATGATGAGCTCCGTGAGAATACGTCAATAGTAAATAAAAAAAAGTTTTCCTAAAATTGATGGCCATTAGCCATACCGAAAAACAAGAGTTGAGGGACTCTCAAAATTAAAATATATCTTTTTAAATTAAAGCTTTTTAAAAAAAATCAGCCTTTCTTCCTCCTAACTTTTAAGGACTTTTTTAAAAATTACTTTTTAAAGATTTTTTCATTCTTTTTAGTGAATACTTGATTTTTAAAATGAGAAGAATAGTGTTTTATTAATTTTCAATTCAAGATGATTTTGTAAAAATAAATATAATAAGAAAAAAAAATTAAATAGCAGATTTTTTTTCTAAATTATAAAGTGTTTACCTCACAAATGTCACCTGATCTACCAATACCATGACCAAGACCAAAATGTCTAAAATTCAAAGGAATCAAGTCCTTGCCACAAAACCCCAATTTTCTAATCCCTATACCCTTGCAACCTGATGAAACCTGATGAAACTTAGATTATTTGAGCTAACAAAATTGTTTGAAATAACTATAGGTCTTCAACATTGAGGTGCAAAGATATAGGGATTAGAAAATTTGAGTTGGTGGCAAAGACTTAAATCTTCTAAGTAAGTTTTTGTTGTTTTTATCTTGAAATTATTTGCAATTAATTAATAAAAAGAAGATAAATTATTGAAAATTTGTCCTTTTTTCTTGTCACAACCAGTGATAATAAAAATTTTAATTATTAGTTGTGTGTTGAAAACATGCAAGGTTTCTCATCTTTCTCAAAAAAAACTTAACCTGGGACCAACTTTCTGAATAGAACACAACCGTAATTCGACCTTGCCTTGCATTCATTAAATCTGGTTCCTGGTTTACCTTCTCCTGACTATACCCGAGTATATTCTTGCCTCCCTCTCCCCAACCCCACAGTTGGAGGGGAAGTTGTTACTGTCCATACTAGACAACTCTAGCAGAGTTTGCTCTATATCCTGATCACTCCAACCCTGAATAGTCAAAAGAATTTAAATAAAATTTACATAATTCTTGCTTTTAAAATATTTGCGTTTGTTGCAGATTAATCCGTAAACCTTTCTATTGCGTTCATGATAAAAATAAAACTTTGCTAATTTTTTCCTTTTTAATTTTAGAGTTTACAAAAAAAATCTAGAGTTTTGGTGGCTCTTTAGTTTTTACCCCTAAATATCTAAATTTTACTAAAAATCACGCTGTTTTTTCAATAATCAAAAATCATTCATATTCCCCAATAAGCTATATAATGCAGGAAAAAACGTACTTATCTATAAATCACATAGTTAGGATTATATTGAAAACCCAAATAAAAAAATTATTACTTTCTTTGAGGATTATTGTACACTTAAATCTTTTAAAAATTGATTTCTTTTGAGTTTAAAAATTTGGGGAATAAAATTTTTAAAAATTTTGGGGGAAGGGGAAGTAAAAAAATTGGAATAATAAACACCCCTAAATCTTTTATGTGAATAGAGAACAAACCTTGTCCGGGAGTTTGCCTTGCTGAAGCAAGGTGGCAAGCTTTCCCTGTCGTACACTGCTTGCTTCAAGTCCTTGCTTGGCATAGGTCGAACCAACTAAATATAAATAAAAGAATTAGAAGGATAAACCACCATAAATATTATTATTATTAAAAGACAGTCCGTTATTCAATGAAATTAGGGCGGACACTCCCGTCCACCAAGTGTATCAATGGCTATGATCCACATTATCCCGATCTGCCACTGCTGGGCTTCTTTGGTTTAAAACTGGTCGGTCCGCTCGGAACAAAACCATTTCTGGTGTTCTTCAGGTTAAAAGTTTTCTGCTTTTCAGCACGGTGGTATTTGGTAATGTACATACTTCGCCCCCCCCCCTTCTTAAAGCAAGCTGAAAACCGGCTCTTACCAGATTTTCCTTAATCAGACAAACACTGTCCAATAAAATAACACAATAATAAAAATAATAATAATGATAATAATCGCGTGGTCAACCCTTAATCCATAGTGAAGGTGCTAAGAAAGCATACATTTTTTGAAACGCTTAATATTCCAGTTTTGATCAAAATATAGTAAAAAATGAAATTGACAAAACAAATACCGACATTTTACCTAGATTCGATGCTAGCTCAGTAAATTTTTCATTTCCCGCCATTTTTATCTGAAATACGAATGAATAAAAAAATTATGATTAATAACTTCAAAATATAATAACTTTTGCAGATCCGGAACTTTAGTACTACATTATTTTTTTTCCTTTTTTTCCTTTTTAAACTCTGCTAACGTCGACCAAACTGTTCCATCAGAGAAAATCTCGTGGCTTGAAATTTTAAAATAACAATGGTTAGGTTGAAATAAGAAGAGGCTTTGTGTAACCGTCAAATTTCTCATTATGGAATTGAACCCGGTCATTAAGGGTCTGTTGTTGTAATTTAAGTGATAACCATGCCATGATTCACAACTGTACCCTTTAAACCTTTATCTGATTTTCGTCCTTGTAACAGCAAGAAAATTCGAACAATGTAAACCACTGAGAAGTAGAATCTGCAAGTCATTTATTTAGACAAACCACTACGAAGTGCTTATCGTACGATAATAATTTACTTTTATGGATGCAACATTTCCTTCTCTTGTCCATAGAAAACTGTTATGAAGAGACGGAAAGGGTTGCTTGAAATTAAATCTTGTCCTTTTATGCATTTTTTTTTCAACGGACAAAAGCTAAGCTATTTTAAGATTTTGAATTCTTGGAACGAGTACTTATCAATGTTTTGTTCATTACAGAACACAGCTTTGTCTATCCTGGAGTTTGGCGAGCCTTCAATGGAAGTTAATATCATCGTTATTATTATTATCAAGGTTTAAAAAAGTGTTCAATCATATTTTGTACCCAGTTCGCAGTTTGCACCCTTCTTCAGAAGTGTTAATCTGCACTTTTTGTTTTTAATTCATCTCAAGTTGAAACTTATGTGTTGTGAATCTCGGGATCAAGCATGCACCCTTAACTTTAAAGAAGATAAGATTGGATCGAGATCAACCGTTCAAAAGTTCCAACCTCTTCGAATCTTTGATTTTTATACTCGTCAAAACCATGAAACACAAATTTTAAGGACTTTTCTTGGGTTTTAATGGCGAATTTTCAAGACGTTTAACGAGAACACAATACACACAAACGGACAAACTAGCTAGGCAAATCAAATCAATGTCCTATGTCCATACTTAAGACTTGAATTGACTATACTAAATCAAGTCCGAAATTAATGAATTTGAGCCACGTCTCAAATCCGCCAAAAACCGGTTTTAATTGAGCGCCGGCTTAAATCTTATGGCATTGAATACGATTTTAAGTGGAACCAACCGTATTTGAGCCACGTTTCAAATTTAAGCCGCGGCTCAAATTCTTCAATTCGGCCTCAGGTTTACAATTTGTAATACTCAACTTGATCAAATAAGTGTTTTGACTTGGTAACTTGGTGCAAAATCCAATCCACAAAAAGAAGATGACATATGTAAAATTCACTTTAGCAAACACATTTCATTTTTATTTTAATTTTAGTTTTTGCCCGGTAAATTAAATCTGACTTTTAAGGACTTCCACGCTCAAACCAAAGTCCCAATTCTAATTTTTCTTTTCCTCAAAGTTTACGTTTCATGAATGGTACAATATTGAATCTCAGTGAGTGAATTTAGAAATTAATGTCAACCCGAAATGAAAAAAATATTTAGTATTGAAATGATGAAATTTGGAAAATAACTCTTCCTTGATTTTTCAACCAATCCTTCATTTGTTCAATACACTCCTCCTCCCCCTCAAGCTCACCGGTAACTGTCAATTCTCTTAATAAAAAATGTCTTAAAATAGGGAGAATAAACCTTTATAGACGAAAATAATTCCCCCCAACCAGCGAAATATTCCTGGAATTTTCTTTATCCCGAAAGTTTAAAAGGAAAATAAATTTAAAAAAAATTGTTTTCTTTATTTTAACTACTCGTCATATCTCCCATGGCAAAAAATGTTAATTCTAGAAAAAAATATGTTTGTGGAAATAAATCGAAAAACGCATTCCGGCTGTTTGTTTGATAACACAGAAATGATCGTCTGTGATTGTAAAAAACAACATTTATTCTAATATAAGATATTAAATATTAGAGATTTTATTAATATTGGGAAAGTTTTTCAATACAGTAAAAAAGTTTCATTTTTACTATTTGAGAATAGAATAATAAATATTTTACATCAATCAATAATCAATATGAACAGTTTATACCTCGTGTTTTTAATAATCAATATGAACAGTTTATACCTCGTGTTTTTAATAATCAATATGAACAGTTTATACCTCGTGTTTTTAATCCATCCTTTCAGTTTAAGAGATTTAGCTTTCTTCTCGGTATATTTCCGAAAGAAAACTCCTTGAACCTTAAACAAATCAACGAATAGTGTAAAACCTGTGGTTAGTTTAATCTGAAGATAACTTGTTAATCCTACAAATATTAAATCTACAGATTCCCCCCCAGCTATCCTACCAGCTGTATCCGGTACATGTGTATGGTGACATAATAACTGTACAGAACTCTTGTGTACATTACTATCTTGGTGTACTTAAGTAGATCAATCAGTATCATGGGTAAGGTAGTCATACAATTCTAGCTTCTGTACCTTCCTACGTCATAACCCGGTACAGGGCACAAAGTTGACACTGGTCCTAGAACTGTCTTGGGATAAGATCTGTTGTAGGCGAGTATACGCATAATTGTGATTGGCATTTCTTTGGCGGTCTGAGAATTCTCCACCAATAGTTTTAATCAGTGACGTCAGAGGGTACAGATCTTCCCCCCGTACCGTATCGACCTTTCATTCGTGCGCGAGCCTCGTAGCGATACCCTATTCCAGTACCCATGATCAGTATGGTGGAGCCAACCATCACTGGAGATGGGTTAAATATTTTTAAAGAATATATTTTTATTTTTGCGTTTTGTTCGCTCGCGAAAAATACGAAATTTTCGCGAAATAGAAAATGAGAAAATTTCGCAAATAAAAGAAAAATTTCGCGAAAAAATACGAAAATTTCACGAAAAAATGCGAAAATTTCGCAATAAAATAATGCGAAAATTTCACGAAAAAATAAGGCGAAAATTAAATTTTCTTGTAATTGGCTGGCTCATAATCACGGTTGAACATATGTATTGTGGACGGACAGACAGAAACATAAAACAGATAGCTAGTGAAATCAAAGTGAAATCAAAATCTCTTTATCAAACATTTATATACAAGTATATATATATATAAGTAAAGGAAGATAAATTATTTGTATGACATAATAAAACTTCAAATATTGAGCTATCAGAGAAGAGAATTCCACAAGTTCTTTTAAGCAATCAACTGTTGCAGCTATAAAACTCATGGTTTTATCGAAATTTTTGCATTTCTCGAAAATATTTTTTGCATTTCGCATTTTTGCTTTATCACAAAAAAAATTTTGCGAAAAAGTGCGACCGAAAATTTTCGTATTTTTTCGCAAACGTTTCGTTCGCTGGAAAGTAAAACGTCCTAATATCAACCCATTAGTAGCAATATATGACCTATACAATAATCTCAAAATTTATCAAACTTATCAACTCATTACACACTGGTTAAAACCGTGGACATGGAAGAAAATAGAATTGCTTAAAACTCTTGTATCAGATAGGATAATTATAGGACGATTAAGAACCGAAAAAATTCTGTTGCAAGCTCTTCTTCTTAAGGAGCGGAATAATGTTTATTTTTCACTAGAACAATAGAGATGTATAAATTATATTATTTAAAGACTTTTGCAGTAATATATAAAATTTTTCTAAGAAAATAACCAAAACACACAAAAAAAATTATACAAAAATGTTAACTTGTCATTTTACTCTCCAAGATAATCACAAAATAACTCAAAAACCGGAGCAGTGTTCATACCAAACCATATATGTTTTGAAATCTTTTTCCATGGGTTTACAGTTTAGCTTGAACACTGCTCCGATAAAGGAAATATTTACTAATTAAAAATTTTAAAATTTGAAGCAAAAAGTAAAATTTTGGCGTGGAAATCATATCCTTAAAAATGTAAAAACAATGTTAAATTTTTTTAATTCTTTTATTTACGTTTTTATCATTATGTCTCAAAAGTGGCAAATTTTTAACTGTAAAGACAAAAAAGTCGGATGTCCACAAAAAGGGCTTTTAATTCCTTGTTTTAAATACTTACGGAAATCCAAAATTAAGAACCTATTTTTAATATCAAATTTATTTTTTTTGGTCATAACCTTTAATTTCCCTAAGAGGGAACTAATTAAAATATTTTGAATTTGGTTGAGCCATTTGTTTGATATAGAGGCGCAAACATTGAATAAAAGTATGATTCTAATTCAGAAATAATCACCTTCATAAAAAAGCAAATTCAACGTTTTTTATCAAGATCGCGAAATATGGATATTGGATAGCACCCATCATTTTTGCAAAGTATTATTTATTTATTTAAAACACTAAATTCAACATAAAATATTAAAAATTTAACAAATCATAAGGCAAACTTATTTTAAAAATGGATTAAGTAGTTTTTTCTCTCTCTTTCATAAAAAAGAATATATGTATAATAAATTAACAAACAAATTGACATTAATGAGGGGTTTGAGGCTCGTTTTTTAATATCTATATCAACATGCTTTGATTAAAATGAAAAAAATGACCCCACAAAAAGCATGATTTTTCAAAGTATAAACTAATCCCACCTTTCCAAACACTTCAAATTGAAGATGTATCAATCTGGACATTTTACTATTCAATCTTTTTCTGAAACATTTCTCATTAAACATTCTAAACATGACGTTAAGTTTAAAGTACAAAATGAAGATATTCTTATCAAAAGAAATCGTTTTGAGAATTAATAATTAACATAATTATAAAATATGCGTCAAGTTAAAGGGAATGTAAGCGTAATTTCAAGTGACCCTTTATGGCAGTGCACGGTTCAGAACAGTATCATTAAAAACTTTGCCTGATCAAGTATTAAAGTTGATGGCAATGTTAATAATGTAAAAAAATTGACTGCAACAGTGAATTGCGCATTTCTATTTACTAAAGCAGGAAAACATATAGAAACTAATAAAATAAAAGATTTTTAAAGCTAGAAAATCTAACAAAATCTTTCAAATTATTGGTGATATAAAGGTTTCAAGAGCGAGCTCCATCGGGTGTTTCCATCTTAGCACAGGGGTCAATTGTAACTAGGCATACAGTTTTGTTAAGCTAATTTCATAATTTTAATCTTTACTTCAAATTTAATCTTTAAACTTAAAAGTTTCACTTTACCGTCAATACTTTATTTTGTCATGAAAAATCAAACTGTACCGAATACAAAATATAATTGTACTTTGTGTAAATAAATTGGTTTACAACCAGGTGTTTTTAATAGTTAAGTAATTTGAAGTTTTCTCATCCTTTGCTTTTTCAATAAAACCTATATTTAATAATTGATAATGTTTGATATGTAATGAATGTATTGATAATTGGGGTCCTAGAAATCCAAAACTGATAAAGACTTGTTCTTGAGAGGGGGGGAGGGGGGCAAAAACTTTAAAAATGAAATAAAATCAGTGTCAATAAAGAAACTTACATAAATTACAAAAACCCATTTTAATCGAAATGCTAGATGAAAAAACATTATATTTTAAATCAAGATTTCCATTGTTTGTGCAATGAGAGTAAATGTTGTTTAGCTCTGAGTGTGATATTAAGAGCAGGATCTACAGGGTTGAGAGAAGGGAGAAGAGGGGGTTCTGCTAGAGAGAGTCCAGAGAGTCCTAAGTAGGTGTGGAGAAGGTCGGGGGACATATCCGTCCCCTTAGCAAACCCTGAACAGTGAACAGTTAACATTACAGATTTTCAATCTTTGAATTATTTCCTTAAAGTTCCAAATTTCCTAAGTTGGTTAAAAACAAACAGAAATGAAAACAATCAAAGAAAAAAGAATATCCATTTAAAAAAAAATTAGTGAAGAGAGGGCGTGGAAATAAAATATAGTCTAAAAAAGATATAGAAATTTAAGGTGTGAACCAACAATCAAGAAAATTTTACAGTAAGTGTTACCTCCAGTAATAGGATCCTGGGTGGTAAGAACAAAGTTCTTGATTTCACTCCAATCTATGTAATTTGAACCTTCTAGAATTTTCAGGGCAGCACCTAGAATTACATTTCAAGAAAATATTTTAGTAATTTCTCCGAAATTTATAAATCAGCCTACCTAACCAAAATGTGTAACAGGTGTCCTCTGCTTTATTTGGACGGCCTTGGAACCCGCTTATCTGGCGGTTAACACACCAGCGCTTCAGTCCAGCAATCTTGGACTGTGGAAGACGATCCAAGGAGTCGAGCAGAGAAAGCGCGGCAACTGCGCAGTAGGTAGAACCACCATGTGCTTCTAACCACGGACCTTGACCAATTCCGCCTGAAAAGGGTTTCCTTAAATTTCCTTTATTATTTCAGAATAAAACATTAATTCCTATAAAAAAAAAGAAAAAGAGTTTTAAAATGGTTGACAAAATAAATTCTCACAGAATGTTTAATCGCTACAATGGGTTCTTGGCTAAAACAGCTACTTTACCAGTAAATATTATTGCAGGCGATATAAATATAATGAAATATGGTTTGAAATGATTATTTTTGCTTATTTTCTGATACAGATCAGTACAAAATTATTTATATTTTTTACCTTCATACGATATGCTTTCAGATATATATTTAGTTGCTCTATCTACATCTACGCCAGTTCTAAACCATCAATAATAACAAAATTTTAATTTGCAAATTTAAAAATTTTAAAAAGTGCATTTTTTACGAACTCCACTTTTAATCATCAATCTTTTACTAGCTGTAGCATGTAGAAGTAATTTTAAAGTTGGGTTTATCCAATCCTCATAAAATAATTTTACGTAAAGAAAATATAAAAAGTAAAAAAATCTGCGGGATCAACCTTAAGTCTATTAATGATGAAATTGCAGCAGCGCAATAAAGAAATCTCATATCATTCTCTCCTCCTTCCGCGGCATCCTGTCAGAAAACATGTTTTATTTCATACCTCTTTAACCCTATCACGATTTGGGTGATTCCCTTCTCCCCCGGTGGTTTTTCCTAAATAACTTTAAAACGGCTTACACAAGAACGCTGAAAGGGTAGGGTGGGAGTTTAAATAAAAATCAGGAATTATCCATTTAAACTTTTTTATTAAATATTTAAAAAAAATGTAATAACATTGTAATATTTGTCAAAAGTAAAAATAATCATTTCTGAAAATTGTTCCGACCTACTTTTTGATTTTTTAAATCCTCCCTTGGACCTTAACCATTGAAGATAGAGGTCTAATTTTATTTTTATGAGCAGTCCATGAAAAGTTAGAACTACACTTCCCTTTCTCAAAACCATATGGGAAGGGGGGGGGGGGGTTCTCCCCATTTATATAAGACAATAATAAACCTATCAGGATAGGGTTAACTAAATCATGAGACTAGAGTTTCCATTTATTCCGGATCAATTTGGATCCGTCAAGGTCTTACTTCCTGAAGCTGTCAAGAATTATAAATCAGGAGACCTAATGTAATCTTAAGATCGTAATACTTAAAGAGGTTCAGGTCGTCTTTACAGTCTATTTTTTGTCGGTTACCCTGATGAATATTTTATATGACAACAGAGTCTTGATTAAAATATAATTTCAAATATTTTCAAACATATTTTCCTTAAAGCTTCCATCAGGTAATTGAAGAACACTGATACCCTAAAAAAATATTTTGCAGCTGATCATTTCACGATATAAATATTATAGAGAAAATTCTTCTAATGTAAGAAAGTTATATTTTAGGGGACTTGTACAAAATTAATCTGTATCTGACAATTGTTTTCTCTGAGATAATTAATAATTTTAGTTAAAAATTAATTAATTTTTTCAATTCAGCAAAAATAATTCTAGTAACTAGGCAGGAGTTATTTTTAACCTGTTAGGAAAGAACAGTAAATAGATAAAAGATTAGTTTTAAACTGACTTGTAAATTATCTCAGAATAGTAAAATGTTTACCTTGGCTATATTTTCTCTATCAATTCGAGAAAGGTCGTCTCCAAGAATAACTGAACCCAAAAAATAATTAAATATTCCAGAGGGCAGATTTTGTGAATAACTAGAAGCAGTTGAAACAGGTGTATTGGGAAAGTGGTTTAAATATAAATACCAAGTGTACTTAAAAATAATCTAAATCTCCTAATCATTCTTATGCCCACCACTTTAACATTAAAAAATAAAAAATAAAAACAATAAATTCAAGATATAATTAAAGATTTTTTTTCATGAAAAACAAAACTATTTTGATCCCATGATGAAGTTAAGACCGGAATATTACCGTTTAGGAGCGAATACAGGAAATTGTCTGGAGGAGAGGGGGGGGGGCTTAACCTTTAAAAATTTTCCCGAGGAGGGGGGAATGGGGTTTGCCCGTACAGCCCCCCCTTTCCAAGCCCCATGCCCAGGTTTCCAAGAGAAGAAATAAACGAATAAACCGTACTTGGTCAAAGAAGTCTACAAGACTAGAAAATAATTATCACACTTTAGACATTAAACACAAACAGTGGTAAGAGAGTAGAATCTACAGAACTGACATTCTAAGTTTTATATTTGTTATTTTTTTCCCTAGAATCGCCAAGGCAGTGTAGGTCATTGGAATGTGGGCGAAGTCATGAATATGTGTCGGAGAATATCCAGGTTCTAGTTTCAGAGTACTTGATCCACGGAAACCACACCTACATTCATTTTATTGTAAAACCACACCTACATTCATTTTATCATTAAACCACACCTACATTCATTTTATCATTAAACCACACCTACATTAATTTTATCAGTAAACCACATCTGCATTAATTTTATCATCAAACCACACCTACATTCATTTTTATCATAAAACCACACCTACATTAACTGTCTCAAAAAACCACACCTACATTCATTTGACCGTTAAACCACACCTACATTCATTTTATCATTAACCACACCTACGTTCATTTTATCATAAAACCACACCTACATTCATTTGATCGTTAAACCACACCTACATTCATTTTATCATTAAACCCCACCTACATTCATTTTATCATAAACCACACCTACATTCATTTTATCATACAAATTTTCATTTTTTATAGTTAACATTGAATAATAAACGCATTTAATTTATAAAAATCTCAAAATCAGTTTAAGAATTGTAACAAAAGTTCCAGTCATAATTATGTATTCATGTTTAACTTTTTAAAACTGTGACAAGTAGAAGTCGTACTTAGCCACGTTGAAAATTTCATCGAGAAACTGTTTTAAACCTGAGAAGCAGTTGTAAGGATCCATTTAATTTTGATGCAGATCCTGATCCTGATCCTGGATCCGAACTGGAAAAAATGGATCCGAATCCAAATCGGGATCCGGATCCCGGTCATTTCTTTAAGATTACTGAATTTTTTTTAACATACAATAATTTTCAAATTTGTTGTCTTAATTTTTTTTCGTTTTTTTATCCTAAAACTTGATGAACCATTCAGAAATGAGGAAAGTTTTATAATATCTCTTTTTCCAAAAGTTAAGATTTGGGGTTTAGGAGTAAAAAAGTTTTTTTTTTGCAGTTTTTGGTTGATATTTTACGGTGGATCCGCATATTTTTGTGGATCCGGATCCAGGAAACCAAAATCTTGCGGATCCGCATCCTAAGCACTGCTGAATCTTTACTCTAACAGATAAAATACATCTTTACAATTTAACAAATTAGCTTGTTGAAGTGAAATTTGCTTTGGTTTGATCCGACCTATCATTGTTCTTAGAATACATACATAGTACACCTTTGGAGTTAAATCTTACAAATTGTGATGAGTGAAAATATGTAAAAACAATTATTTAAAAAACAAAATTGAAATTTTCCAGGTTTATTCATTTTTATTTTAGAATGCGTTTCATAATCATCAAGTATGTTTAGTTCAGGTTTAACGTTAATCTATCTATCTATATTTAGATTGTTTGTTCGTATCCATTAAACGTCTAAAGAGCCCATTTATTTTGTGGTAACTCACAAAAACACATGAAAAAAATGTTTACATTATCTTTAAAAATGTACTAACAGAAAAATCCGCAAACATTTGTTTAATTGGTAAGCGAAGAAAAAATGGCGACTTGACTTTTTTGTGTTAGCTCACATGACCCCAAATAAGGTTTGTGTCCGGTCAAACTTTCTAAAAAAAGAAAAAAACGAAACACACTACAATTTTTGGTAAATCCAATTTTCCATATCTGGTCTATATTTTATAATCAATTTTCTTAAATTTTTGTTTCCAATATCATCGTTAAAGCATGCTGAGTCTAAAACTAAAGAATGCGCGAAATTAAGTTAAGGCTTAAAAGTTCTGTAAAATAATGAGTTACTACTTAAATATTAAACTTTCTCAATTTAACCTTGAACGGAAATTTGAATTTCTCGGGAAAAAATCTCAACCATCGCTCATCAGCTGTTTTAGTTAATTTAAAAAATCCGAAAACAAAACATATTTCCAGTTACAATCGTTTTTTGGGTATATATGCAAAAATTAAATTATCTAAATCGTGAAATTTCTTCAACAAGGTTTTCACTTTTAAATATATCGCAAAGTAGAATGCCGCTCTCTCAGCTAAATGATAATAGATTAATAAACAAATAGGGAAAATGCAGGATTTCAAGATTTTAACCCTGGGGTTAAATTTTAACTCGTCGATTTTTGCGAGTTAAATATTTAACCCCAGGGTTAAAATTCAGGTTTAAATTAAGTGAGAAGTGGTATTTAAGCTGAAACTTAAACTTTAAGTCGGAACTTTTCATTCTTTAGTTTTAGACTCTGGTTTCCTACCTGCTCTTCTTATCTGTATCAATGTTGATTAGATTATTGTAAACCCAGGTAATTATATCCTCTCTAAACCAGTTTTAGGTTTATTTATGATGGCAATGGTCGAGTGACTTGTCGACTTAGACAGATAAGGACTTTTCAAAATTAATTAATTAACATCCCTTCGGAAATTATCATGCAATAACTTTGAAATCTTAATAACTATAGAGTTTGTGGTAGGACTAAGTGATGAGGGGGAGGGGGGGGGGGATTAAATCCCTATTTGAGAATTAAGCAAATAAATGGAAGTAAATTCGCACAAGAATGTAGAATTGGGAGTGAAGCCAAAACATTAAAGTAAGACTGATTTCCTCATGTCCTCTAACAAATTCAGTCTACCCAGAACATCCAGACCTAAAAAATTGTGCAAATCTTAAGAAATAAAACATCAAAATTGTATTAACTGTTTACAAATTTACTTTTACTGAAATACTGTTGAATAACAAAATTGTTAGAAAAGGAAGTTCCATTTTTACTCTTCACCTAATTGCCTGACATATTTTGAGGAAACCCATGGGTACCCCTGGGGTGAATTTTTAGATTTTCCCCCAATTCCACGAGCAAAGTATTTGCATTTTTAGATTATTATCATTATGGTGCAAGTTTATAAATGATTATCTACCTGAAACTGCAAAAAATGCTATAGTGATTCTCTGATTATCAGCTGATCCTAAAATATCAGAAATTAGTCTTAATTTAAGTTCATGGTTTAGTTGAATGAGTTAAGGAAGTATATGCTCTATATATTAATTTATTCTTCGTAATTGTAAAACTCAATTTTTGTCGCGGATTTTTTTTAAATTAGTGCATTTTTAGATATATTAAATGTCGACCATTTATTCCTGGCAAATTTTTAATTTCTAACCATTTTTTAAGCCGTTTTGACGTTTATTTGCTACAGACAACAGACAGACAAGCCATATGAATTTATGAAAGGCCAATTATTAAACAAATGTTAAATAAAATACGGCGAATTCAAGAAAATTTTTTATTTCTGATTAAGTTAAGTGTTTTAAAATAATATATTGACTTTTAGGGATGCCCTACTCCCCCTCCCCAAAGTTGAAGTGAATTTACTAAAAAAGAATTAGGTGAGGTCTTATGGCTGGAGTTTTATCATTTAATCGGAATTAATTTAAAAAAAAAATAGTAAGCATTTTACGGTCTTTAGTATCATATTATTCACAACTCCTTAGAGATTTCTCAGAACAGAACTAGCAATTAATCACTTCAAGTGAACAGATTAAGATAAATGCACACTTCCAAAAGCTATAGGAGAAATATAATTTAGATGAAGGGGGGGGGGGGGTTGAATTAAAAAATATATAAAATTCCTGAATAAAGTTTTAAATCATTACAATTAATGACATTTCTTATAAAAAATAATCTTTTAGGGTTTCAACATAATGTTCAATTCTTAATTCAGACAAAAATTTAATAATTCCTCAATCTGGTTTATTGTTTTCAACCTGATGATCCCGGGAGTATTTTTAAGGTTCTAAGTAAAAATTTTGCATGCTTGTCAATCAATAGATCATCTTCCGCCATTTTTTTCTGAAAAATAATCATAATCATTTATCATATAAAACGAACGGCAACATTTCTAGGATATTTTTCTAGGTTTCCCTCGTCAAAGATTAACATAATTCTCACAATTAAGAAGTAATTTTTCCATTAAAAAATCTAAATTAAAGGTTTTCGAATAGTATACATCGAGATTTCAGAGAAGCAACAATTGGCTCTGGTTCGGCGCTACTAAAAGTACCCAGAGATTTAGGGTGAGAGAGAGAAAATGGCCAACTAGAAAAACTTTAATGGAAAAGAAATAAATGGAACTTCAAGAAACATGGAAGGGCTGCAGAAATCTTTTAACGCTGTATTAACCTGGAGAATGGAGGTTTTTACCTACTTAGATACAGATTTTGCTACTGGCAGCTTTTAATATACTTCCAAATAATAAGCTGGAGTCAGAATTTAAAGAATTTAAGCTGCGGCTTAAATTTAAGCCGCGGCTCAAATATGGTAGGTTCCACTTAAAATTGTATTAATATTTTCAAGATTTAAGCCGGCGCTCAATTGAAACCGGTTTTGGGGGCGCGGCTTAAATTCATTTAATTCGGACACTGGTTAGCTGTTGTTAAGTATCCGAACTCGTCGGAAAGATGTTAATTCTATCGATTGAATCTGGTTCAATGTGTAAGGGAGCTCAGAACAGTCAGGTTCTTATAAACTCTTTCCAGTTTCTTTTGGCTGAATAGAACCCTGTGTGGAATAACATTGCAGTACACCCTACATGTAAAATAAGAAAATAATAGTGCAGAAAAGGAGGGGGTTCTCTACACTTCTCTTTCCCTCCCTCTTGCCAGACACAAGGAAAATATAGAAACAGGAACTATGTAAATCCTGGATACAGACGGGAACAGAACTCGCTAAACCTTGGATAGAGACAAGAACTCTGTAAACCCTTGATAGAGACAAGAACTCTGTAAACCCTTGATAGAGACGGGAACTCTGTAAACCCAGGATAGAGACGGGAACTCTGTAAACTCTTGATAGAGACGGGAACTCTGTAAACCCTTGATAGAGACGGAAACTCTGTAAACCCAGGATAGAGACAAGAACTCTGTAAACCCTTGATAGAGACAAGAACTCTGTAAACCCTTGATAGAGACGGGAACTCTGTAAACCCAGGATAGAGACAGGAACTCTGTAAACCTTTGATAGAGACGGAAACTTTGTAAACCTGGGATAGAGACGGGAGCTCTGGGAACCTTGGATATAGATCAGAACTCTGCAATCATCGAATTAGAATCTTGATGGGTGTGCACCATGCACTATGATACCAGTTTATACTCTGCCGGCTGCAAGGAAAAGATAGATGTAAACGAGGTTGTATTCTGAAGCACTGTGTCGGAGATGAAAGAATCAAAATTTTCTTATCCTATTTGTCATTATTATGGCGAAATGCTGACAATGAATATCCTCAGAGTTTTCAAACCCTGCTTAGTACAGAGAATTTTTTTTCCTGAACCCTCAATCAGTTGAGTCAGACATTCCAGCTGGCAAAACTGAAAACTGCTGATCACTGCTCTTATAAAAATTTTGTTAAAAATTTGTAATTTAAAAATAAATTGTACAAAAAAGGTTTTGAACCAGATATTTTTGGTTCTTTAATTTTAACCATTCAATACAACTCACTCTGATCTATTGCTTGGATATATTTATTTCATTAAATGCAAGTGTGCCTGAAAAAATGTTAAATAAAAGGGGGGGGGGGGCCGTTTTAACTTTTTAGGTCTGTTTATATCAGTGTCAGATAATAAGTTGAGGTGTTCAGAGGTTCAAGGGTTCAGGGTGTAGGGGTTCAAGGGTATAGGGATTCAGGCTTACTACTGGCTAACACTCTGTACTGAGCCTCAGTGCTTCTCCAACTTCCTAAATAATAATCGAAATAGATAAAAATTAAACTCTTTAAATTATGAACATTCAAAAACCTTCCCTGGGGTAATGTAAGGTCACACACATTTTTCCCCCGATCAGTTCAGGCGTTTTTACGTTTATTGGATTTATTGGATAGAAAACAGAAAAACAAGCAAAGTATAATTACTTATCCCCATGGACAAAACGTTACCTATAAAACCTTCAAAGAATTTTTTAGAAAGGAGGCGAGCTACATCCAAAAACAAACGAATATATGTTATTTCATTAAACTTTAAATAGCAGAAAACATAAAAATTATTGAATTGGAGCTATGTCGCTGAACTACCTTCCGCCAGTTTAAATCTTGAATTACTAATTAAAAGTAAAAGATTCATGAGGATTTGAATTGGTGACTCAGGATTTAAACCAGCAGTGGGTAGCTCAGCGACCTCTCCAGAAATTGAACAAAAGATCTGTCTGAACTCGAGACATTGAAGGCTAAGCCGAATTTAGGTTTAGTTGAAAAGTACCTCAGAGGAAAGAACGTTTTTCTCTACCAGACATTTAAGAAGCTGTTCTCTATTTTGATATTTTTATTTTATCATGTTCATTTAGTTAAAGGGTATCTTTACGTAATTTCAAGAGACCTCCATTTAAAACTTCGGCTGGACAAAAATTAATAAAACATTTTAGTTTTGTTTTTCTTTCAGAAAATTGATAATTGCCAAGTATGGTTTCTTTGTAAAATTTACTTTAGACAAGGTTAAGTTTTGTAAAAATAATGTAAAAAATATTGAATAAAGTATTTTCATAGAATCAAATAAAATATTATTCCTGGAGTTTCCAGAAAAGTTATTCTTAAGAAATTGAGGAAATCCACTACGCTGACCTCTCTTGTTTTGATAACTGTACAACGGAACTCTGAAATCAAAAATACACATTGAAAATGTCGATTGGGAATACGACAAAAAACATTGTACCCCAATCAACCCCCAAGTATGTTTTGAAACAAGCAGCCCCCTACCCTCCCGAAAATAAATTTAGATTAAGATTTTAGACTGTGGAGATATTTAGGAGTTATGTGCAGTATTGTACAATAATAAATATTTTAGCAGAATAATTAATACAAATCAAGGTTTTCATTAATTTTAGAATTATAAACCCCTCATTTTTTATTGGAAAATATCTACTCCATGATCATTTATCACAGCAACTCGGATAAAAAATTTGTAATATAAAGATCCAAAATATCTTGTTCCTGTTTACTCAGACAACGGTTTAAAGGGTAAAATAAAATTACGTAGAAAGTTCCTTCAAGATCAAACAAACTGTACCTGATATGCCCTAAAATCTCAACACCGAACTCGGGTGCTTTTTCTCCCTCTTTTTCCATCATAAGAAATTGTTCTCTGCTCACCTCCTAAATACAAAAAATGTCCCAAAATCTTAGACGGTCTGCTGGAAAAAAATAAATTTTTTTTAGCTACCAGGATCTCGACTAGACCTGGTACCTGGTGACAAATCCAGCGAAATCAAAAGACAAATTTTTTTTTAACAAGTTATGTATGATTGATAAAAGGATGAAAAAACGTGTACAATTAATATACTTNTATAAAAAAAATAAACATTTGAAATTTCGTCTGTTCCAATAAACCATGCATAGATCTTTATCTGTCTAACAGATGTGTAACAGAGTTTGTATCTATATTATTTCCAATATTAAACGAACAACCGCAAATATTTTACCAATTCCTGAAATTATCAAAACAATTATGTTGGGTGACCTTCTAAATGTATGGACTTGGTTTAACTCTCCCCTCCCCCCTTCACGTGATAAACTTTCAGTATTTTGTGAAACACCCAGCACCTCCTGTAAAAAGACATTGTTTTATTTAAAAGTCGTCTTTTATGAAATACATTTTTCAGTTGCTAAGAGAGAAACAATTCTTCAAAATATATAAAAATTTTCTCTCTTTAACTGAATAGTCCAGAATTTTGAAAACCCATAAAACTGAAAACGATACCTTACAGAAGAAGTGATTAAGAATCCTTCCTTGAGCTGAGTACCAGGCCCCCACCCAATCTGATTCAAGGAGTCCCAGATCCATCCCTACTTCTTCCTGTAACACCAACGTTTAAATCGTCAATGTATAAAAAAGGAAACAAAATTTTCTTGGGTTTCTTTCTGGGACTGTAGACGTAATTTTCAGTTACCCTTTATTTTTAGAGTGGCATTTCCGATTCACAACAGTACCCTTAAACACTTTGTCTGGTCAAGTATGAATATGATATCTATTAGCCATGTTTTAGATTATAAAAACTGATTATTTTGCATTGTGGTTCTCTACAAAGTGACTTGCGCATTTCTTCTATAGGAATAAATATGCAAAACTTAACACTTCTAAAGCTTTAAAATCCACGTTATCTTCCATCTTATTGATCAGATGAAGGGTCAGATAAATTGTAAAAATTTAAAAACAAATAAAAGTAAAAAATGACAAAGCCACATTTCCATTTAAACGTTCGGTCGGGGTGAACATAATGATAAACAAAAGGGAACCCATTTTATTTTATTTTTATGATCTTGGAGGGATTTTAGAGACAAGGATCTCAAAAATCTTTTATTATTTATTAATTATAGGTTGGAGGGGTTCAAGGGTATAGGGATTCAGGCTTACTACTGGCTAACACTCTGTACTGAGCCTCAGTGCTTCTCCAACTTCCTAAATAATAATCACACTTCCAAAAGCTATAGGAGAAATATAATTTAGATGAAGGGGGGGGGGGGTGACCTATATGGAAAATAATATAAATGGAGTTAAACCTTCCTGAACCTCCCTGTTTAACCCTGTCTCTGCATTTTCTCCAGGATCCAGGATTCCCCCCGGAAATCCAAGTTTTCCATCAAACCTAAACAAAATATTTAATTGTTCTTAAAGCCGATTTAATTATGCTGGTTATTGATACAGCTGGGTGTATGTTATAAAGTAGGTCGGGTTTTCATCCTTGTTAGTTAGTGCGCGATTTGATTTTTAAGAATATATCATCTAGGAGTGCAGGGTCAAGCGGAACAGAACATTTAAAAAAATTATTTTATTTTCTACATCTAAACTAGCTTTAACATATTATTTATTTCGGTAATACATGCAATAAAGTAATATTTTAATTGGGTTGTTACATAAGGTAAAATTGTTTCATGAAATTATACGAAAATATCCATTGAAAACTAAGCCAGGATTAAAAATAAATCCTTTGGTTCCTTACCTCATATGCATATTTACCAAAGCTCTGATTTTATGTTTTTCCCACAGTTTTGCTTCAGTCCTAATCACAAGAAGATTTAGATAGTTAAAATATAGAGAGTATAGACAGGTTTTATTAGCGTTACAAGTATTCGTACTATCATCTTGATAATTAGCGTAAGAGTATAGACTGTAGATAAAAAAGCAGATCAGCACCCAAATTAGGTGGTTATTTATTTGAAGTACTGATGTTTGAACTATTGGTCGTTTGAACGTTTGAGTTTTGTAATTTTGAGATTGGTATGATCCATCAAAGAATGGTTTGAATGAACAATAAAATATTCCAAATTATTATAATATATTCAAATGAACAAAAAATAGTTCGAAAGAACGTAAAAATAGTTCAAATGAACCAAAATAAATTTAATAGAGATAGTTCAAAAACAAAAATATTTCATATGAACCCAAAAATAGTTCAAACGTGTGTATTAATTAGGGTTAAGTTAGAACCAAAAAATAGTTTAAACGTGTGTATTAATTAGGGTTAGGTTAGAACCAAAAAATAGTTCAAACCTGGGTATTAATTAGGGTTAGGTTAGGCTATGATAATTTCTGGACCGAGCACTCCAGCGAGTACGATCAAATAAACATAAAAAATAGTTCAAATGAACCAATAATTGATTAACGTTTATTTCTATATGCTTCAAAAGGCGAGCATCTTAAATAATGAACCAATAATTATATTTAAAATTTATGTATTATTTTTGGGTTTAGGATAGGTTATGACAATTTCTGGGCTAGCGCTGCGGCTTTAACAGGTTATAGGGGGCCGAGCGAAGCGGTTACAAGTTCAAATGAACAGAAAATAGTTGAAGTGCACCAAAGATTGGTCTAATTTTTTTAGTTCTTGTAAACTTTATTTATTTAGACTCATTTATTTATTTAAATTTTTTAAAGCTTTATTCATAATCATTTAAATTATTTTTTGTTCATTTAAACTATTTCATGTTCATTTGAAGTATTTTTGTTTTACGATTATTTCAATAGAACTTTTTTGTTTGTTGTTTGAACTACTCACGTGGTACCACGTTCAGTAGCTTAAACGAACAATTATAGTTCAAATGCACAATAGTTCAAGCGGCGGTAGTTCAAACAAGATAACATCCCCAAATTACTTTCAATTTGCTGAGATCACCCATGTATAATAATTATTTACTCGGCAATCCTAAGCAAGGTGCTCAGTTCTTTTGCCTGTCCTGGTCACAGCGCTCGGCCCAGATACTGTCAACCCAACCTATCTCTCGGTAATTAACATGAACAGTTTAAATGATTCATTTAATAAAAATCGTTCACTAGGACAGACCCAATTAAAGTCTGCGGATGTATTATAATGAGTGTATGTTCAGGTAACCTGGAGAATATCATAACGTGAGCTGCTTGTCTTTCCTCAGCAGAAATCTTATAATTCTTGTCTACAGGTTTAAAACTAGTCAAATCCATGAATTCAACGTTAAAAGTCTTCTAGGACTTTGCTTAATGAGTGATTAAAAACTTTTGATTAACTTGATGATAAAATTGAGAATTGCCAATACCGACAACAAGGAGTTTAGAACGCGGCAATGGAGCGTAAAAATGTTTTTTTTAAAAACGACATTCAAAATGATCGTTTTTTCAGCAGACGTAGGTCCATGGATGGTGTATTTTTGGACCTACGCCCACCCCCTCTACTGCCCATCCGACCTACAAGCACGTGGTTTTAACAGCTGTGATAGGTCCGATGCACTGTAGGTCGGATAGGCACGTTAAAAACAGCATATTGGTGCATCCGACCTACTTTAAGCTGTCGCTTCGACACGACGTTTATAGATATGAATGTTTCGAAGGAACATCGGACGAGGGGGGGAGTCCAGAGTTTCTCAAATAGTAATCACCGCCACCCAAATCTGTTTCGCGGCAAGCGCGCTCCTCAATTGGTAATCTCCACCATCAATTGAGGAGCGCGCTTGCCGCAAAACAGATTTGGGTGGCGGTGATTACTATTTGAGAAACTCTGGACTCCCCCCCTCATCGGACATGCATACCACTCTTTATATGAGGGTCACTTGAAATTACGCATGTATTCCATTTATGTATAATTACATCGTATGATAAAAAATACTTTAAATAATTCGCACTTTTGCCCTTAGCTAAAGGTTTCATTAAACAAGTTTTAATCAGAGCTGAAAACTTTAGAATGGGATATCCTTCATCCCGATCTCTTAATTAATCTGGAGATTAATAACAAGAGAAGAACAAGCCTTAATCTGCAAATTAATAAAAAGAGGAGATCAAGCAATGATCTTGTTATCCACCATTCTAAAGTTTTCAGCTCTGATTAAAACTTGTTTAATGAAATAAATAGGAAGTGTGTATATTATCGAATGTATGAACATGGTTAAAAAGGTATAATTTTTTTTTTAAAGGGGGTTTTTAGGGGGGGGGGTCGAACAACATTTTAGTTTTGCGTGCTGACGCACGCAAAATGTGCCCCCCCCCCCCCTACACAAATGCTTTCGTACGCCTCTGGTATGAAGTATCATAGGACGGATGTAATACAATCACAATTCGGTTCTTGGAAAGGACTTTGCACATATAATGTCATACCTGAGAATGATTATTTGGTCTTCTACTCAGAACGGAACGTAACGATACTAAAAAAAGGAACGAGAACGGAACGATTTAGCTGAAGGCCCTCGTTCTAGAACGGAACGATTTAAAAAAAGTCGGAACGTGCCCAGCCCTAATACAAATTTTAATATGCAATAAATACAACAATATCTATATGGAGCAACTACTGGAGAAAAAGAATATCTTTAAAAAAATCAATAATCCGTACAAAGCTTTTGAATTGCATTTCTTAGCTCTAAAATTTCAAAAATGCATTATTTTGCTAATTTGTAAAATTTTTAATGCTTGTAAATCTTTCACTGAGTGAAAAAAATTTCAGGACTCGAGCATAAAAACCTGATATTAATAATTTATTAAAATTTTGGATAGGTTATCATCTCTATTAGCAATGATATTGGGGTTTAAAGTATAGCCATTTACAGCAATTTTTTAATGTAATCGAATAACGCATCTTACTCTCTCTGAAATTTAACGACAACATAAAAAGAAATTTTAAGGACGGAAATGCCGTAGGACCGGAGAAACAGTACACCATATTCTCGATTGAACAGATGAATGAAAGAATGAATAACAACCAACCCAATATAATTCTAGATTAAGAAAAGGATTTAATCCAATTTCATTTTGACAAGATTTTTTTGTTGAAAATTTTCATGCAAAAATTATTAATTTGTCAAAATCAATGAAAATAGCATTTTTCCGGGGAGAATAAAAACCTAAAAATTTGCACAATTTGAAATAAAATCCGTACAATTTATGGGTAAAAAAGTAAGTTCATTCGTTCAAGAAAAATGATCGGTTTTTAAAAGTTTATTACGTAAAAATAATTAGTTTAGTATAAAAAGTTCAGTTCATAAAACTGAAATATTGTTCGTGAAGTAAAAAACTAACATAATCGATACGATCAAGATCATTCGAACGCTTTAAAATCGTTCGTTAAAAAAAACGATAATTTTTTTATTTCTCTGAACAATCTATTTCGTTCATCCATCGTTATGTTCGTTTTCAAATGTTCGTTCGTTCAAAAAACGATGTCCATCTATGCAAGTGAGTTGATAGCAACCGATCGTGCTCCATTTCTGATGTGCAATGATTAGTTTACATCTATTTTATTTCATCACTCAAGGTAAGAATTCACTAACATTAAATATCTAAGCGAGAAAGCATGAACAATGGAGAAGATAAAACAATCTGATGTGCATTAAAAAAAGTTATTTTTAGTTGCGCACTCACTTCATACTTTCAGGGCCTGTATATACTTAATCTTGTCTTGAATTATCGTGCTCATCTGAAAAAAAGGTTTTGTTATTATTCATATTATTTTGCTGTCCTTTTTATTCGTATTCTAGATTTCAAATATTAGATCAAGTTAAAATATATCTAATCTCTTCAATGCTTGATCTTGATATCCAATGCGGGGAATTTTAATTTGAGGAGAAATGCTTAATCTCTCAGGTAAAGTTATCAGGGGTAAGAGGAATTAAAATAATCCGTAGATCTGCAAATATGGAGATCAATGCTTGATTCACTACCACACAATAGTTCTAACTTCCATGCTTAATTTGCCCCAACATTTGGTAGATTTCCACACCCGTGTTCTTCAAGTTTTTCCTCAAAATTTGCAGTTTTTACAATACTTTATTTCTCCTTAACTTAAAAATGAAATTAATCTGGAAGAAACCCTGACTGATATCAATGAACCACTACCTGTTGCTCCTGGACCAGATAACTCTCCTTCATCTTGAGAACTAGGTTCTGCTTCTCAGCTCCGAGTAGGTCGGGTAGGTTCACACTAAGACTGGAGAAGGAGTCAACCAGGCACTCAGATTCTAGCTCGGAGATGTACTTCTAAACAAACCAATATAATTCAAACAAAATTGAAAACATGAACTCAAACTTTCCAATTCCATTATCTTTGAAAACTGATGGTGTAGACATATGCTAATTTTAAACATAGATTATTTGATCTATAAATTTTTGTCCTACCAATAAGAATTTTTGAATTTTTGTTGCGACATTACAACGAGATAGATTTTTTTTCTGATTTACTAACCAGCTACATATCAAGTTTTGCGTTATTAATACGCAATTGCGAATGGAAACCCTAGGTCATTCATAATGCATGGTTTAAAAAAACAGAATTCATAGTTTGAAATATCAGACGTCTACGTCATCGGGTTGCAAAAATAGAGTGATTAGAAAATCCAAGTTTGCGAGGAAAACTCGACTTTATGTTCTTCTTATATTAGCCATTTAAATGATATTGCGTTTAGAAGGACTGTGCTTATTGTTTTTTTAACAACTATGTACATATTTTCAAAATATTAAACCTATACAAACGATAAGAAAAATGATACCCAAAATTAGATTTTGCCTCCAGTTTAAAAAAATCTTGCAAGTTATACATATTTTAAATAAAATAATTTGTTAGGTTTTTAAGCGGGGCCTTTCGATAAGGGGACTAAAACTTATTATTTACTTTTGATTCAATGAAAAAACGTGATTTCTCCAAGAAACGGCGAAAGGGAATTAAGTTGTTTAAGATATTGGTAGTTCAGACAGGTTTCCCACACAAACCTTGTAGTTCTCCTGTAGAGTCTGATGAAGAGTCTTCCCGTGTTCTTCAAGTTTATCAAGAAGTTGATTGAATTTAGGAACTGCTGAGCCAAACTTGGGACTCACAATTTTCTTCTTATTCTTCTTGACGCCTTTCTGGGATCTGATAAGACAAAAATATGATTTTTGGGATTGAAATTTGGATTCTAAGAGTAAAGCTTCTCTAACTTTGACCTGAGTTGGGAGAGAATGAAACCTGAGAGTACAGCAGCTGCTCTAATATAAACCTGAGTAGGGAGAGAAAGGATCCTGAGAGTACAGCTACTCTAATTTTAACCTGAGTTGGGAGAGAATGGATCCTGAGAGTACAACTGCTCTAATATTAACCAGAGTAGGGAGAGAATGAAACCCGAGAGTACATCAGCTGGTCTAATATTAACCTGAGTAGGGAGAGAATTGATCCTGAGAGTGAGAGTACAGCTACTCTAATATTAACCTGAGTAGGGAGAGAATAGATCCTGAGAGTACAGCTGCTCTAATATTAACCAGAGCAGGGAGAGAATGAAACCCGAGAGTACATCGCTCTAATATTAACCTGAGTAGGGAGAGAATAGATCCTGAGAGTACAGCTACTCTAATATTAACCTGAGTTGGGAGAGAATTGATCCTGAGAGTAAAGCTACTCTAATATTAACCTGAGTAGGGAGAGAATGGATCCTGAGAGTACAACTGCAAGGCAGAAGGACTCAATATTGAACTGTTGGAGTTCTAGCACTCGCCATCTTTCTCCCAAATAAGTCTCAGTCAACAATACCTCCTTTCCCTGGAATATCAATTCATAACTGTATTTTTTGTTAAGAGGAGATTAATCCAAAAATTTAGTTTTCCCCCTTCAAATCATTTATTAACTATTAATTACTACTTAACTGGGAGATTAAGGGAGGATAATTAAATTGAGGGGAAAACCACTTAGCCGAGGGCCTCCAAGACCTTTTTGGGGTTCTAAACCTCACGAGCGTTTTCCCCTCAATTTAATTATCCTCATGAAAACTCCCGGTTAAGTAGTAATTTATCGTTTAATCTCCTGTTCAACGAAATAACCAACCGTGGGGGATAAAATAATAATGAAATCAATAAAACTTTCAATTATGATTTTAATTCTCTTATTTCTTACTAATGCATATGGAAGAATATTTAATTTCTTGATCTAAATCTTGAATTAAATCTGTATGGATCACAGAGGAAGGATCAGTAATTATCCTCCCTGTAAATAGGGAGGATAAGTAATTATCCTCCCTGGAATTAAAAAAGGAGGGAATTTAAGGTTGGTTATTTCGTTGAACAGGAGATTAAATAAACAATTCATACAGAAAATGTAGAACCCAATGGAATTAAAACCCATCCATTGGTGATTATCCAGACCAAGACTTCCAAACATTTGATTTGTTTTAGCTTAATTTTATTAGATAATAATTATCTTTGTTAAATTACCAAGAGTTCTTGATAGGAGGTGAACTGTTCCAGAAGAACATTGAGAATATCCACAGTTGATTCATCCTCAGTCTAAACATATTTTTAGATTTCAGTGAACATTTTTATGAATTATCCCACAGGGCAGGGGGCGATGATTTTTAAAGATCTAGAAAAAAATTCAAAATAAACATCAATAGACAAGTTTTTTCCTTTTTTATACTTTTTACCCAAAAAATTGAAATGATCAGTTTTCAGGCAAAAAAAACAAAGGTCTTATAAGACATGTGGAAATTCAGCCAGTAATTCTTAAACTGAAGGATCAATAAAATTCTCACGAGAATCCCTTTAAATAGAAGAAATACTTGCAATACCTGTGATACAGAGTATATATGAATGCTGTATACTGCAGAGAGAAAAGATTTTGCTACAGACACTTGAAGGCTTGGTAGATAGCAACTTAATCTGGATCTGTGCATAAATTAATCACGTGTCTGTGCTATTTAATATTAAATAAAAAGAATAAAAAAGGGGCTTTGCACTGAACTATTTCTTAAAAGACTAAGATTGATTCAGTCAGTTTGGACCTTTTAACCAGTGGCCGAATTTAAAGAATTTGAGCGGCGGTTTAAATTTAAGCCGCGGCTTAAATATGGTTGGTTCCACTTAAAATTGTATCATATGTTTCAAGATTTAAGCCTGCGCTTAATTTAAACCGGGTTTTGGCAGATTTAAACCGCGGCTTAAATTCTTTAAATTCCATCTCAGATTCTTTTTATTGAGTTTGTTTGTGTTACATTGTGTAAAATGTTTACTTTGACATAACATACAATTTAAAACGAAAATGGACAAATCGTCTTTGGTCGATGTCTTACTTTGCCAGGGTTTAATTTCTTGTCAAGTCCCTTTAAAGTCCTGAACATTTAAAACACGATCCCCATTTCTAATGGTAGGACACAATTGTTCATTATCAGGGAAAGTTTGAATAATACTTTTATTTACTTCAAGTAGAAATGGTCTACCTATAGGGAGCTTGAGGGGTGCTCATCAAAACCTCTTCCTCCAGTTTCTGACTGCATGATTTATGCTGCTCTTCCATCTGAGAGAGAAGAGTCGAAATATCCATCTCATTTTCCACATTCTTAGAACTAAATAAAATCAAAAATTATTCCTCGACTATCTTATATGTAATGAAGTACAAAATAATTCAATTCCTACTTATATTCGATTTAAAGCGTCTTGTAGGACTGAAAAGAAACGGTGAACAGAAGAAACATTTTTAGCAGTGAACACAAACACATTTAAAAGAGATTGAATCAGATAATTTCAGATCTTGATCAGGATTTTAACTGAATTCAAAATGTGTGCTATGATTCCAGAGCTGAGATTTAAAAAGTTAAGCCTGACCTTCGTAAGCTCAAGGATTTGTGGAGTCTCAAGTCTTTGGCTGGATTCTGATTGGTACAGATTCGACCAATAAGAGATGCATTCGAAACTCTCAGATGTAAGGCATTAAAGTAAACTAGATCATAAAGTTAAACTACAGATCATGTTTCGTCATACAAATATCTAGGTATAAATTAAGAGCTAAGCCTCTTCATATATAGTGACATACTGATTCATTGTCTGATTTTCACCATCTAAGAAGATCCTCAGTACATCTACATCATTCATTGTTTCCTGCCTGAGCTTGAGTTCCTGTAATTTGGCCTCTAGAGTAGAAGTTTCCAGGTCTATTGCATTTCTGAGTGGCAGCATTTTTTTACAGTGCAGAGCAAGGAGTATTTTGTTGTCGGATCCGTCTGAGCTCACTGGGCAAATTGTGATCCTCTCTCCTGTCTCTGCTACTGTGTTGGCTGCTCTAAATTCATCTCTATTCCCAAGACCAACATCATACACCTGAGCCGTGTTACTATGTCTGATCCTCGACTATTTGACAGGAATTTCGCCCGGGACCACCATTTCCTCAGGACTGCTAGTATTTTAAGTGATACCAGCTTCTGTATAGAGCCTTGTATCTCTAATTAATGCCTGAAATGCAGCAGTTTCAAAGTTATGTCTTCAATTTAGTGATTTCGTCTATATTCTTGATATTCAAGGTCACTGGATTGTCTTTATTCCAAAGCGTGAAGGCTTTGACTAGAGGGCGTCCTACAAATGTCTCTTTAGGAACCTTAATTTTGCTGCTGCGACGAACAGTTTAATAGGTTTCCAGCCGAGTTCTGTGTACACTATCCTGTTTGTACAAGAAAATGGTATTTTTAAGATTGTGCCCAGCTTGGTCTGAATATGGCTTTCAAAGCTGTCAGATTTGTTTAGTCACCGGGATGACTTCGGCACCGTATAATATTGCTGGCAGAGCTACACTTGTCCACAGAGCTGATGCTGTCTCGACTTTATCTAGGTTTTCTGGGTTGGTCTTTAGAGTTACATCTTTACAAGTGCTCTTGCTCTTTTATCATTAATTTATTCCCTCTCCTGTCGCTGTTCTTGCTGGTGAGATGTATTGGTTTACTACCAAGTATTTCCTCTCCTGTCGCTGTTCTTGCTGGTGAGATGTATTGGTTTACTACCAAGTATTCCCTCTCCTGTCGCTGTTCTTGCTGGTGAGATGTATTGGTTTACTACCAAGTATTTATAATATGCTAAATGTTCTATTATGTCTGACTAATTGACTTCACGATCTTCCAGTCATTATCTTGCGTGATGATGTTAGTCTTTATGGCTAATACCTTCACCCTGAAGTCCCCACACCAAGATTTAAGGATTGATTTTAGGATCTTTAGTTCTTGTGTTGTTTACTTATAAAATCTCAGCTCTAGATAAAGCATTGTTCTTATTCTTTTGCAGACCTCTGAATTGATTTTATTTCTATCCCAAACAAAAGTTTACTCTCTGCATTATGTAAAATGAATTACCTGGGAGAATCGTCGCTAAAATGTTGCTGGACATCATCTGTGAGGTTTATGGCAGAAACTATACCTCGTAGAATCTGTTGACGCAGGCGCATATACTCAACTTCAAGCTAATCAATAACAATTGTTTATTATTTAACAGACGAATAATCCAACCAACCAACCAACCAACCAACCAACCAACCAACCAACCAACCACCCAACCAACCAACCACCCAACCAACCACCCAACCAACCAACCACCCAACCAACCACCCAACCGCCCAACCAACCTGAACTGTACTGGCTAGACTAGGACTAGAACTAGTAAGAGTTGTAACACTTGGAGCTCTTCCATAACCCAGATCTCGGAATCCACTGCAAACCAATCAGACAATATAAATATAACACACAAATTTTTTTTTTTGAGTTTCTCATAAAACCGTTTAAAAAACGTATTAAGTTCCACTGAGCTTAATTTGCACGGAACTGGTAAGTTCAGTATGTTAATGTAAATTTGGCCTTAAATGGGGATGATTGGGTCGCAATCGAGAGCTTAAGTGATTAGCTTTCAGCATATACCCCCTTTCATTTTTCCTTTACACTCCCTTTAATTAAATACAAAATTCAAGGTTCTATCCACACGTGACCTAACATGCTTATTTAAAACCCCCACCCCCCTTCCCCTGCTAATTCAAAGAGAAAATTTCCCTACAGTTGGACTCAGAAAACTGTAGAATCCAAAGACGACGTCTAGTTACGATTTCAAAAAGTTTAATTACATGAAACATAGCAGTTGTGTAATGTACACACATCGAATTCACTTAATAAGTTTTTTTTAACTATTTGCTTTTTAATAACATCAAAACACAAAAGATTGCTAAAAAGTCGTCTTTCTATTCCACCGTTTAAAAGGCCTTACAGTATTTTCCTAATTTTTTTGCAATCATTTTTTGCTCAGAGAATTTAAAATGTCGTCTTTCCTGATGGAAGGTGGAGGCTGGGGCATCTCTAGTCCCCGTACTGCAGCAGTGTGTGCAACCCAAGCACCTAAACCATAATATTTTCTAAAAATGTATTAAAAACGCTTAAGACTTAAGTGACCCTCCTTGCAAAGCTGGCAATGCCCGATTCACAACAGTCCCGTTTACAGCTTTTTCTGATCAAGTATGAAATAGATTTTAATGTTTATATTTTTAAATACTGATTATTTTTAATTGTGATCTCTCTACTAAAGTGACTTGCGCATTTCTACTGCAGGAACAACTAAATGAATTATTAAATACGACATTATCTTCCAGATTATTGATAAAATAAAGGTTTCAAATTCATTTTGAATCGATCATTGCTATCTTAGCATGGAGGGCAACTTGAAATGAAGTTAGCGCCCCTTTAGACAATACAAATAAGTTTAGAATCCCGGGGACAGTCCGTAGCTAACCTGGATCAATTGGTCTGACTGGTTCAGTTTTAGGAACTTCAAAGTAATCCTTTGGATTTGCATCCCAACATTTCGCGACAACCAACTAAACATAATATATTCATCCACTATATCAATTAGATACAGGGTTACTCACAAAGGATGAGACTTTAAAGACGACATGAAACCCTTATAATAAAATGATTCTAAGGTTAAATGAAGTCTTCTGTTATAAAAAAAAATCTTTTCATACTTTATGGGTAACCAAGTGATCAAAATTATTTTGTGAAATTATTTTGTCATTTTTGTCATTTTAAGGTTTCCTGCAATTGTAAACATGATTTAACTTTTAAATAGTTACATTTTTATAGTTTTAGATCGTCATAAGGTCTCATTCTTTGTGAATAACACTGGAATTAGTGAAGATATCCGTATTATCAACGTTAAAAGAGAGGAGGGTCTCAAATACTAGGAAATAATCACAATATGTTTCAAAGTTTATTTTTGCATCATTCCCAGTCTCAGGAAATTATATTTTCACAGAAACTATCCTCAAAACAAATAAAGGAAGAAAAATATTTTGGCGGACAAAATAAAATTTTTACGGAAATACAGAACAAATTATCAATTGTAATTAATTATTAATTAAAATCCTTCTATATTGGGAACACTTCTTGTTGTTAAAGAAAAGGGATTAATTTTTCCATGAACAAATAATACGCCCTCACGAGTAAATAAAATGAAATACATTGTTTAAAAATACCTTAATAGGTCCAGGTTTTTGAACAACATCCCTCAGTACTCGAACTGCCTCATCATTGCTCATATTTTCAAAATTTATGTCGTGAACCTAGAAACCAAAAACCATTTTTCACAAAAATATGACATTAACAAAGGATTGTTCAATGCCAATTATTTCTAAAATTCATGAAATACTGCAAAATCACAAATATCGACTTTAATCATTATATTTTTAATCTAAACTAATCTTTTGATCTGCATTCTTATTTTATTAATTAACATGACTTTCTTGCAAAAATTGTTAGCTTTTAATCGTTGCTCTGAAAGTCGGCCATTTTTAATCTTTTTAAAACTTTGGCGGGTTTTTTATTCTGAATGGTCGAATTTTTAACAAATATATTTTACAGGAGTTTTTTTTTCATATGTGATGTTCCATTAACCTTCACTGGGGGTATGTGAAGTACCACAAAAAATTTGGGCCCGATCGGTTTAGTCCTGTTGACGTTTACAAACAAACAGAATAAATGCCGCGGAATTAAAGACGACTTTAAAAACATCGTTTCCAAATAACAAGACGATGTAGGTAGGGCTGTCAATCGTTTTGGATAGTTTTGAGAAAAAAATCAATAGAACTTTTAAGTATTATGTCAAAGTTTGCTTTATTAAACTTTGCAATATCTTTCTCCTAAGAATAATGAAAATGGAATAACGATCCAAAAACGATCCAAAAGCGATCGTTGCAATACGTTCGTTTTTGCATCGTTTTTAAACCTTTTTTCTTTCTTTTATTGCCATGTATCTTCGGTCAGGGTCAACATTTGACATAAGAAAGGCAGATGTTTAGTATAAAAAAAATGAATTACATTGTGACGAATTTTGATCCTAAAAGACAAAAACGAGCGATAAACGAACCAACTGAAAGCACATCACTAACCTGTAGGATCATATCTCCAGGTTCAATTCTTCCATCTAAAGCTACTGCACCTCCCTTCATAATACTTCCAACATAGATACCACCGTCTCCACCCTGCAACAACGTATATACAAATAGAATATGGAATACGAAAACGACTTCACACTCAAGTTGTGATTTTAAATAGTCAAATGAACCTGAAACAATTATCTGTACAGATTTTTGAACAGACCCGTTTCAGTTGATAAGCTGATGTTCAAGCTACCATGGTTTAACTACTCCCATTTCTTTTTGTTTAGTTTTTAGATTACTCCAAGAACATACGATTTCTGAAAGTGAAACATTGTCTAACTAGTCCACAGTTGATCTGTTGGTTATTTTCTACGAATGTTTCCTTTTAAAACTAATTAGCATGGGACAGTTGGGACTACATAATAACCTTCTCGAAACTTCCATCCTGAAGTACAAAATTTGAGATTAACCTTTTGCACTAACTCTCAAACAAATAATAGTTCAAGTGGAAAAATTATTTTTGAGAGGATAGATTTATTTTTGCTTTAAATGCTTGTCTCTGTCAATCCGGTCTAATCATTTCATGATCCGAACCCAATAATTTTACGGTCTAGTAATTATACTGTATTGAATTGACTCGTACCGGCAGGTCCAGGCTACCCAGAGTGTAGTCAATCCGCAGATGTACCTGATTAGATTGTCCAACAATAGAGATGCCGAGGAAGTTGACGGTGTCCATGTTCAAGGTGACCGTGATGATGTTCAAGCTCAAGGTGGAGTCCGTCACACTGGAGATAGAACTTGCTCGGGACAGGTGGGTCGGCTGTAACAGATTTTATAAAATAACACTCAGGTTTGAAGTGTAAACAAACAACATGTTTTAAAGTTTAAACAAACAACAGGTTCGAGTGGAAACAAACAACAGGTTCAAGTGTAAACAAACAACAGGTTCAAGTGTAAACAATCAACAGGTTCAAGTGTAAACAAAAAATATGTTTAATTGTAAAACAACAATAGATTTAATTGTAAACAAACAGATGTTCGTGTAAACATTTGACAGGTTTGAAGTGTAAACAAACAACTGTGGTTTTCATGGGTGGCATATCCCTCAGGTTTACAGTTTGGCGCATTAGTATTGGATTTTTGAGATTCAATGAACAACGACCGGCACTTCAGCAGTTATATAATAAATATTAAAATGTACCTTTTTGTGTTTTAATCTTTTCTGTTTCCGCATCCGGTTTGCATGCTGCCGTGATACAGATGTTGCCTCGGTTGAAGTGGTAAATCTGGAAACAATCAATCAATCAAACGTGTAGACTTATAATTAAATTGATCAATTTTAACTCGTAGATCAAGCAATAAATTAATCAATTAAACTAGCAGATAAATTCATAAATAATTAAGTCACTCAATCAATCGTTCAATTTTTCAATGTAATAATTAGACAGTATGTACCAAAAGAAGATTTACTTTGAAAACTTTTCAAAAAGAACCTAAAAAATCTGAACACAGTTTATTGCAAAATTACAAAATATCCAATTTACTTCAGAAGAACTATGAATCAAAATTTAAGGAACAGTTCATTGCTATCTTGTCCAAATGCCAGAAAAGCTGCTATTTTTATTTGATGATACAAGATATACAAGAATTAATAACTACCAATCCAATTATCAACTTATCTACATTTTGCTGAACTGAAATTTAATTTTTCAAACAGTTTGTAAAACGAACCTAGATGAAGCCATGGATTCATTATCCTCGGTATCAAAATAAGAACTGTCAATCTCGGAGGACAATATTGAAGACGCATCATTTCGGAATACTCCACCTTCAGCCCTGAAATATTAAAAAATAGTTTAAAAAAACCATAAAATGATAATATTAAATTAATATTATCTAAAAAAAGTACTCCTAAAAAACTAAGATTTTAAATTCAGAGGGTTATTGATCTACTTAAACTAAGACCAAACAAAGAATTTATCACGTTAGTTCTCAAAGTTAGCTTTTAGTTTGATTATGTTAATAATGAACTTACACTTCGATATGGGTTTAAATCATACCCAGGGGAAGTACTTTCATGAAAATGCATCTTAAAATTTTTTCTCTCTCTCATCTAATGCCCATCCNATCAAATAACATATGCAAAATACTTCCAATTACATAGCCTTAACGCCTGGTGTCACCTGAGTCTATGTGAGCGACCGTTGAGTGGCATTCTATGCTCGTATTTCCTGCGACCGATCTGACTCACGGAGGTTATACTAGATTCAGTGTCATCAAATGTATCTGTTCTCAGTTGAGAACTCTCAATGTCTGTTCCTGAATCATAGATATATTGGTTTATTTAATTAATAAATCTTTTTGAATTTCGACAATGTTAATATTAGTTTTCATAGTTTTTTTATAGTTATTAGGGGGGGCGGTTAAATACAATACCTGTATCGTCTGGCCATCCTACGTCTATAGGTATAGGAGGACCTCCATGGAAGGAAGGAGGCCTGGTTTCTCCTACTCCAGGTCCTCGTTCAACACCAGGAGGAATACTCTCAGTACCACACTGGGAACCTAGAGAGAGAATCATTCATAAACATCAGAAATATAAACTTCGCTAGACTGTTTGATTGTATCCAATAAACGTCAAAACGGCTGAACCGATCGGGCAAACATTTTTTCGAGGCAACTCACATGACACTAAGGGAGGTTCATGGATGCTCAGAATTGCAAATATGTGTCTCTAAAAAAGTTGATGCTCACAGATAGTTACAATTAAAAGTTAATTAAATAAGAGGAGTGCCTTAAAAACTTTTTTTTTTATTAATTCTACAACTAGATTATTGAAGATGACAAATTAATTAAATAAAAATAATTATTTAATTAAATGACTGTCAATTACATCATAACATTTAAGATAATTATCCTTTAAATCTTAAAAAGATTAGTTCATTTTTAAACAAATCAACACACAACCAATTTAGAAAACAAATAAAAAAAGGTTTTGAGTTTTTATCTCATCAATCAAGTTGCATCAGAAATTATATTCTCAACATCAAGTAGAGCACAAGATGATTTAGAGAAGGTAAGGCTGACGGATTTAAAACTTTTAGGAAGGTAAATTCGGGAGGAGTTGGGGGATTTAACAATTTTAGGAAGGTAAAGTAGGTAGGAGTGTGGGATTCAACAATTTTAGGAAGGTAAAGTAGGTAGGAGTGGGGTATTCAACAATTCTAGGAAGGTAAAGCAGGGATGAGAAGGGGGATTTAACAGTCTTAGGAAGGTAAAGTAGGGAGAAGTGGGTAATTTAACAGTCTTAGGAAGGTAAAGTAGGGATGAATGGGGGGATTTAACAATTTTCGGAAGGTATAGCAGGGAGGAGTAGGGGGGTTTAACCATTTTAGGAAGGTATAGTAGGGAGGAGTTGGGGATTTAACCATTCTAGGAGGGTAAAGTAGAGAGGAGTAGGGGGATTTAACCATTTTAGGAAGGTAAAGCAGGGAGGAGTGGGGGGATTCAACCATGTTAGGAAGGTAAAGTAGGGAAGAGTAGGGGGATTTAACCATTTTAGGAAGGTAAAGCAGGGAGGAGTAGGGGAATTAAACCATATCAGGAAGGTAAAGCAGGGAGGAGTAGGGGAATTAAACCATATCAGGAAGGTAAAGCAGGGAGGAGTGGGGGGATTTAACCATTTTAGGAAGGTAAAGCAGGGAGGAGTAGGGGGATTAAACCTTATCAGGAAGGTAAAGCAGGGAGGAGTGGGGGGATTTAATCATGTTAGGAAGGTAAAGCAGGGAGGAGTGGGTAATTTAACAGTCTTAGGAAGGTATAGCAAGGATGATTGGGGTAATTTAAAAATTATCGGAAGGTAAAGTAGGAAGGAATGTGGGATTTAAGAATTTTCGGAAGGTAAAGCAGGGAAGAGTAGGGGGATTTAACCATATCAGGAAGGTAAAGTAGGGAGGAGTGGGGGGATTTAACCATTTAAGGAAGGTAAAGAAGGGTGGAGTAGGGGGGTTTAACCATTTTAGGAAGGTAAAACAGCGAGGGATTAAACAACTTAAGAGAAGGGCGGAGTTGCTGACCTGAATCTGAGAGAATACTAGTATCCGCCGAAACAAGCCAACTGACAACCCGGCCATTAAAGCAGGGCAGAGGACATTCCTCCTCTATAATCTCCTCCTTCACAACACCGAAGTCGTCGTCCATCGACTTGAAGAAGAACTTGTAGTTGGGACGGTTGAGAACATTCTTGAAGTCTGCGAGGGTTACTTTGTCCGGTCCAACGGGGAGTTTTACTACAGATCGTTTTTCATTGAGCATTAAAATCAATATCAAGGAAAATATCAAGAAAATAAGATAATGTTGGGTGAAACTTAAAATTAAAAGTGCAATCATCGATTCACAATAGTTGACTCTTGTTAACATAGGTGACCGCAAAACGGTCGTTTATCCTAAGTTTTATTCTCTGGTATTAAAAAGGGCAATGGGCATTGCCAGTTTGAAGAAAATCTCATCAGTAAAAAGAAACCGTTAAGAATTATGAATTAGGATGGCGATCTTTAAATACATTCATTTACTAAGAAAAGACATTTATAATAGAAAAAATCCTCAAAAAAAGGACAAAACTGGAAATTAAGAGACGGAACTTAATAAAAATTTATTTTTTATCAAAAAATTCAAAAGAATAAGACGAAAATATGCTTTGCATTTTAAGATGAAATAAATCCCTAGATACGGTGTATCTTCGTCATCTATATGGTAGATCACCTTGGTTTCTTCAACCATCCTGCAAAAAAAACATAAAAGATATGAATAATCTTTAAAAATAACCAACCTCATTAAAACCTTAATTTGTCAGAGACTATAATACGGAAAAAAGGCGTGTTATTAAATTAGATGTTTTGCTGGGAAACTATTAAAAAAATGTGGGGGGGGGGGGAAATCTTGACAATTGATCTCCACTTTTCATTCTGTTTTTAAAATCTTAAAATATACACTATACAGTATACAGTTTGCACCCTGTGAACAAAAATTTAGAATTAGTCTAAGTTTACAAGTCACATTTAACAAATATGCTTTCTTTGATTAAATCAGAACTTAAAATAATTTTAAAAACAGAAGTGCAAAAAAAATCCTCTTTATTAAATCTTTTAGTTACCTAATGGATGTATAATTAGCAAGAGCAATAACTAAATCTGGTTTGTAATATTTCAAACGTTTACTGAACTCATTCTTTGTAAGCTATTCTGAAATAAAAGTGAATTACTATTTATCAAGTGTATATATTACATAAAAATAAAACCAGGGGTATACATTTTCAATACTTAAGGATGTGGAATCTGTAAGAGGCCCCAATGTGGACCCCCCTAAACCTACTGACCTCTGACCTACTGCTTTTACAATTTTGGTTGTAAGAGCCTTTATCATGATTATAGTCGAAATTTTAAGAATATGTGCATAACTGGTTAAAATTTGTCTAATTATATAATAATTAAAATCCACCCAACTTTTTATCTTAGTTTAATTCAACTAATTTCCAGAATAACTTTAGAGTGGTACAGATGATGTAGCACCTCAAGATATTTTGAGAGAGACTTTCGGCTTTGGGTTTGAGTTTTTAAATATGTTTAAAATCATAAGTGGTATTTAGTGTGTTTTAAAGTGATTTAATCTTTTTATTTGATTTCTAACTTTTCAAAGAGATTAAAAGTTTCGGATTCTGTTTCAATATTTTGGGTCGTCTTCTTCACGTATACGCCTTAACCGGTTTCAATTTGTAAAGGTTACGCAACTTGTGAAACCAGAAACTCGCTAGCTGCTACTTACAGCTGTTCTGTTACATGAGTAAAGTTATTTCTCAAATGGCTGCAGTGCGAAGAGCTGTCAATTTGTGCTTGGTGATCAGATATTCTGATCGTGATTAAATAAGTGTTACATTCTCTGAGTGTTGAACTGCTGAGAAGTCAAGATTAAGAAAAAATGGTAATTATTATTATTTGAAATTTTTTCACTAGGACAGACCCAAAAAGAATAATTTTGCTGAAAATTAAATGGTTATGTACAAGATTTTATAGGAGAGGGGGTCCAAAAATCGTATAGAACGGACCCGGATATTCTTACAATTTGACAAATCGTTACTTTGACCCTCGGAAAAAGCAAAAAACTAACTAAAAACGACCCATAAACGAACCTGTGAATTGTTTAAAAGATCATTTTGTATAGTTTTCCAATTTTTATTAAGGATTAAAATATAGTACTGTTTAATAAAAGCAATCCTTAAAATATGGCAGTTTTGAAATCTTAAATGTTTTTATTTAAACAATTAGCAACCCTAAGCATAAATTAATAAATACAATATAGTATAATTATAAGTTATGAGAATCTCTTATTCAGATGTCTGATTTTCTTCTTAAACTTTTTGTTGATTTCCCAACATATGAAATCAAATTTTTGTCGTACAAATAAGAATACATTTGACTAGTTGGGGACCATGATTAATTTCAGCGTTTCGGATCCGGATCCGGTCGGATCCGTATCATTTGGTCGGATCCGGATCCGTATCAGGAAACGTTGATATGGATCCGGGTAGCGCCAAAAATTAACCAAAACCATGGAATAAATAAATCAAAATGGTTCGTAAATGTATTATTTACATGACGAAAATTTTGTTACATTTCGGAATATATAATAAAAATAGTTTATAAATTATAACCTTGCATAACATTTAATAGGGAAAATCCGATTCACAGAATCAAAAGTTACCCCGGATCCGTATCAGAGTCAGGATCCGGATCCATCATCACGGATGCGGATCCGCGGATCCGGATCCGCATCAAAATGATACGGATCCGAAACACTGATTAATTTGATAGTTCGATCTCTGTAATAATAAAATATATTTAAGACTGATTTGAAGGAAGAAAGCGGAGAGAAGTTTCCGGATTTAGAATCCTTCAGGTTGGATACAATTTTTTTGGCACATTCTCCATCTTAAACATTTTCCATTATGTTTTTTCTTTTTTTCAGAGCTGAATGGAGACGGGAGCTTGGCGACAGAAGTGGAGAATCTCCAGCCTCTGACAGGGGTAAAATTATTCATGTTTCCTGATATGCACACTGCAAACCTCCAATGTATAATTATGCAAGGGTGTATATTTTCTTAAAAGCATTCCCAATTGTTTTTAGTATCATGCACTCAATTCGGGAATGCAAATGATATTTAGGGGAGATGAATATAATTTTGGGTGAGCAGTGCTGAAAGTATAAAATTCAATGGACAGAACGGCCAACTTTTTTTTATCATGTACCCTCTTAGATTTTCTTAAATACCTCCCCCTCCCTCCTCCCCCCTCTATTGCTGCATTGTGCATGGCAAACTGTAACAGAATCTTATAAACATTTAGTAAGTCCCCAAGCCGCTTTTAAGTCCAAGGAAGAGTGAAAAATTATCATTTTCTCCTGAAGACAACCCAACTTGATAAAATTTCTATAAAAAACTTCCTTCACATGATAGTGAAAATAAATTAATGTTACATATTAAAATAATACACAGTACACACCCATCTAAGATCGAGGCGAAACCCATTTAAAAACAAAATGGTGAAAATATTGTGTATCGATACTGGGGCTTCACATTGGGAAAATATTTTTACTTATATAAAAAAAAACTTTGCGCTAATTTTTTTTTAGAATTCGACCCAATTGCTGCCCCTCTTCCAGTGGCCGACGAAGAGAATAATGTTGAAGAAGATATACATACAAAGGTGAATGATTTAAGATACAAAGAAAATATATTTGGTCTCAAATCAATAATTCAGAATTTGACCCTGCATTAAGATAAATTACTCCCCATTATGTTAAGAAAAGTTTCTCTTTATATGAGTCCGGCGTTGCCCGTGGAAAAAAAATTATAAAATAGATTTTTTTAAAAATTTGAAAAAAATTTTAAATTAATTTTTAAGCCTATAACACTCCACGGCCACCCACACAAGTGCTCAGAAAAAAATTCAGCCCATTCGGTCCAGCCGTTTGGCCGGCTGTACACAACATATATATGAATGTCTTGTTTTATTTTGTAGATAATTATTAGATAATTTATTAGATAATTTAGATAAAGATCCTTATAGTAATAATTATAATGAAATAATAAATCACTTGTTAAAGATAATTAATAAATTAGTTTTTCTTCTTACATGTTAATAACTGTTATAATTTCTCCCTGTATATATAGGCTCGGGAATATTTCCTTGAAGGTGTCCGACTCGAGGAGCGGGGAAAACTGTATGACGCGGTTAAATTCTACAAGAAAGCTGTAGCACTAGGCAATCCAATCAATTGAGTGTGGTAGCTCAGTTACTAAACGTAATTTCAAGTTATCCTTTCAAAGAGTGGCACGTCCGAACCGAATATAAACCTTATCTTCAACCCTCTATCTGAACAATTAGGAGGATGCTATTGTCGTGTTTTATCTTTTGTTGCATTTTCGTCACTGCAGATTGATTGATTGATTGATTGATTGGATTAACTTGTTAGTGCCTGACATTGAAAATGAGACCTTCTTATATACCGGTAGACAAGCATGTGATAATAAGAACAGGTAGGCAAGTAGTAAATCGGAACTGATCTGAAAACTTTGTATGCCCTCAATACCGATCGGTTAATCTGGACATCCATAGTGGACCCTTTCGATTGCTGTATATTTATAATCCGTTCTTTTTCCCTCTATTGGGATAATCCTACCGGGTTCAGACCAATCAGAGTTCTCTGATTAAAAGGCACAAAATTAAAGATCTTCCGGCTTCTGATTGGCTGTTTGGATTTCTACATACTGCAATAATCCACTCTTAATGGTTGAATTTTAAAAACTATACCGGACATAAGCTAAAGATTGATATAATCTTAAGATTAAAAAAGAGGAGATAAAGTTTTGATCGCGGTATCATCAATCCTTAAGTTTTCAGCTCTGTATTCTCAATGTCTTCAGAAAGAAAAATTTTTAGTCATCCCTGTCTTGAATTAAGTTTAATGGCTTATTTAATGTTTTTAAAAATGAAAGAAACAAGTATCAGTTTCAATTGATCACGAATATATGGAAACAGGCAGCATTAATTCCGTACAGTCGTCTCTGAAGTTTTTATTCTATTTGGGTAACCCTGTATCTGTATATAAAAATGAGGATTAAATTGTTATTTTTTTTTGTATTTTCTTTAGTATGGCAATTCTAGGTAATAAACAGAGTTAATTTTGAAATAAAAATAAAAACATAACATATCCTGAAAACTAAAGTTAAAATGTAAATATAACAGTGCACTTTAAGTTATAAGCTAAACGGTTTTGTTTTGAGTGTTTTGATGGCTCAATCTTCTGAACCATATAGCTATGATTTCAAGGATGCATTGTATAAAGATTAAAAGATGTAAAAGATACAAATACATATTAAAAGAAGTTTTGCACCAAATCATTTTTTAAATTGGACTTTTCAAACAATATATTGATCTTCAAGATGGGATTTTTCACTCCTGTGATATTGTAGAAATGTTGAGGCTACTGGACAGAATATGGAGGGTGTAGAGGATAATCATGAAGCTGAACATGGAAACCTTGTTGATGAATTCTCTAGAATCAATCTTGATAATCATTCTCTCATACAGACGGAGTCATCACAGGTTGGGCGTCAAAAGAATTTATGCTCTACACTTTCAAACAATTTGGAATATATACAGTGTGACCCATAAAGCTGTGGAATAGAGAGACGCCATTTAAGCTATCTTCTGCGTACTTAATTTAAAGCAATTAGTTTTAGCAGAGTCTAAAACTGCAGTATGCGTGAAATTTAAGTTATAGCTTAAAAGTTCTAAAAAATAATGAATTTAGTGTTGAAGGAAATTTAATCCCGGATTATTATTATATCATAAAATTGGGTTTTATGTATAAGCATACGCTGTATCATTTTTAAGACATTCGTGATCGATTCATCGAAAATGATGCAAAACTGCAAGGTTTTCCCGGGTCAAATATTGAACTCGTCGATTTCGATGAGTGAAATATTTAAATTATTATAAAAATAAGGTTTTATTACTATTTGCGCAATGCGCATATTCCCAAATATCCCTGGTTTTCGGATAATCAATACGTAAAATGAAAAGGAAAATGAAAGAAAAAGTACATCGGAAGGAAAAACTAATTAATAAATTCAAATGTTCAAGTTTTCATACTGCGTCTTCATCAAGGGAGGAAAGGCACATTGCATCCGATATTTGTCTGAACTGCAAAGAATGTCAAAAACTCAACTTCAATTAGTTTAAGAAAGAGAGCGGACAAGTGGATATCTGTTGCCCCTGTTACCCATCATAAAAAATGAATAAATAAATAAATGTGAATTCTACGCTTCAAACTTTTTATTTTAATTTATGTGATGTCATGGCATTTTATATAGGATATTCTCATAGCCCTGGCATTTCCAAAAAGTGGTCTGTCTTTTTTTCTGCTTTCAATATTACCGGAGATAATAAGAATTTTGTTCAGATTTCAATTTTGTTTAATAAAACCAAAATTATCGAAACCTGAACGAAATTCTTCATATCTCGGGCAATATTAAAAGCACAAAAAAAAACATTTTGGAAATGCCAGGGTTGGGGGTATTTTGTGATTGTTATCTCTAAATTTTACTTCAAAAATTAGGTTGAAAAATAAATGCAGCAAATTATATGAAAATTCCCAGACTACATTTAAGTCATCTTGCTACTGTCATGTTTCGTGGGACACACTGTAAATAATTTATAATTTACTTTGTTTGGATTTAAAATGACGCTGATGCTCAAGTTTTTGACTTAATTTGCGGTCCGGACGAGGAACGGGTACGATATGCCATCCCTCCCTCCTTCATTTAACACCCTACCTTGAATAAATGTTGATAAAATGACTTGTTCAGTTCTCTAGAGAGCTGTTCAGCTGTGTGTAGAGGCTTCTATTTAGCTGCTAGGGATCAGGAGATTTGGAGGTAGAAAATTTGTCAAAATCGAGGGAACAAATTAAATAACAATTTTTAATTTATTTTTTAGTCTCTAAAAACGATTTTTTTTCTTGACGAATCGGGGAGGGGGGGGGGGGGGGATGGTTCCTTTGAATTTTAGTTTCACTTTTCCCTAATGTTCCCAGTTGATTCATCTAAAAATACATAGAAAGCCTAAAATGTTAATTAACTTTTAAAAAATTATTATATAAGTCGAATGAATATAAAGAACGATTTAATTTTTTTTTAAACGTTTGAATTTCGAGAAAAGTTGAAGTAATGAATTAGTTTATCAAATTAAATTACTCTCAAGAAATCACGAGAATTGAATTATAAAACAATTACAATTGTCTGACGATCCTACGTTATCTTGGCTAATAGTTTCAATAGATAAACATATGATATTGATGAAATTATTTTATAACTTTTAATGTGGTTAGGTTGGTTTGTGTAAGAGTGTGGGGAGGGGGTATATTGAGTTGTACTTCAAACCAAACTATTTGGAGAGATCTCTACATTTCAAAACCAAGAGCTAACTTCAATGGTTGCTACATTAGCAAGGTGGTTTTTATTCTATTAAAGGGAGTTATCGCGAAAAATGAAAGGGGGTATAGGCTTATGTCGAAAAATATTCGATGGTGATCGCTACTTATCTTCTATCTTTTTTGTCTATAAGGAGAAAATTGTTAACAAGGACTTAAGCGAAGAACGTAGCGTTCACACAAATTCAGAAAGTTGCAATATTCGACTCGGATCGTAAAATAATGTATTTAATTCCAAGCAAATAAAATCGTGATAACAAGTTGTAAGCGAAATATTAATTTGAAAATACATAATCAAAAATATTATGAAATATCAACTTAAATCAATTGCGTCGAAATCAACATTAATTACCTAAAGATATTCTCAACATTTTTCTAAAAAGTAAATATATATTCTTTGTTGTCTGCTTGTTTTTTTTGTTGTATCTATTAAACGTCAAAATGGCTGAAGCGATCCAGCCCAATTTTTTTTGGGACCTTACAAGATCCCAGGGAAGGTTTCTGGGTGACTAAAAAACTAAAATTAAAAAATTATTATAGATGACATATATCAGAGAAGGCGAAAGAGGATTTCAGGTTAGTCAATTAGAAAAAAAAATTACCGTATATAAAAAAAAATAACGTCTTATTAAATAAATGGGCTATGGACCGAAATTTTAAAAAGAAGGGAGGTGGCGTTGTATTTAATAAAAAGAAAGGGAGGTGGGTGTAATTATTTGTAAAAATTAAAAGAGGGGGGGTTTTATTTGTAAAAAGAAAGTGAGGTGACGTCATAACTTCGTAAAAAGAAAGAGAGGGGGAGTAAAAAGATAGGAAGGGGTGTTTTTATTTTAAAACCGGAAGGGAGTGGGGTGTAATACTTTGTAAAAAAAGGGAGGTGATGTTATAATTGTTAAAAGAAAAAGAGGAAGGGCGTTTAAATTTGTATAAAGAAAGGGAGTGGGGTGTTATAATTTGTAAAAAGAAAGGAGGGGTCGATAAGGTAAAAAGTAAGGGAATGTGAGGGATAATTTGTAAAATATTGTTTTGAATTTAATTTTTTTTAGGATTCTGCCACTTACAAAGCCTGGCATGTTGTCGAATATTACAGATTTATCAGGTTAACAATTATTACTGTTGGCTTGATGGTTCTTGTTCTTTCAATTTCATTAAAGGGGGTGGTTCGTGAAATAGAACAAAAGGTAAAGAATGAACTCAAATTAGATCCTGGATCTCTCTTTTTTCATTAGTTGATTATGGTGGGAAAATCATTTCCAAGAGAGTTGTTATATTCTTGATTCAGAATGTCTTCTCAAGTTTGAATCATGGATAGAAGGACTTCCCTAAAAGCCGATTTGATTTGATTTGATTTGATTTGATTTGATTTAATTTGATTTGATTTGATTTGATTTGATTTGATTTGATTTGATTTGATTTAATACGCTTATTTTCGATTAATGAACTGAAACGAGGGATCTTTAAAAGGAAAATATTAGTCGCGTTTTCTTGACCTGTTGTTATGCAATAATTTTTAAAAAGTCGTCTTCTTTGTTTGAAATCCACCAAAACAATGTATTGGTCTGTACAGGGAAACTTTGTATAGGGTTGGTTTCAAACTCCAAATTGAAACTTTGATTGGGAATGATTCTATACCTCCTTATATTATATTTCCCAGAAGAAATACTTCTTACATTGATATATTCTAGATTTTTCCCTGGAGGTAGAGCAATGATGGTTTTATCAGCAGATGATCCAGGACTGATTGTAAAACTAATGAATAACAGGAATATCTGCTATGTACAGGTTCAAATTCATTTATACTTCTAACAGTGCTATTCTAATTAAACCGAAACAATATTAGTTGATTTAATACTCGGAAGTTGTTGTCGTTGTAGCCATCGAATTATAGTAGCCTACATAGACATGGAAATAAGGAAGGTATTCTTGGCCACCAACTGAATGGGATGAGGTTTTCACACCAGAGAAGTAAATTACAACTGTCTCATGGACTCGCATACTTCATCGAATCTACTCAATTACTACATTACCCATGGCCTATTTGAGTGTTGGCAGGTTTGCATGTTATGTCATCCAACGTTATGACCTCAATCAACGACTGTAATTTAATACCATCGGTAGGAATGTAGAAGTCGTCTTTGACATTAGAATAGTTTGCGGTGTTCATTATAAGTGACCTAAAAGCCAATTTTTTATGAAACAGTAATCACAAAATAGCCGAGTCCTGTCATAATTACCGGAAATCTGAATTAATTAAGTTTAGAATTGGACATTTTTTTTTGGTTTTATTTTATAAATAAAAATATTAACAAAATATTGGTCAAGTTAGTTTGTTGTATTGATTGCCGCAAACTATTTTCAAGGTCAATATTTTATTTTTAAGTCTTCAATCAATTAATACTATTCTAGTTTATTTAGAATAGCATCAACAGCATTAAGAGAGGAGGGGGGCGATTTTTAGTGGCTTTCAAGCTTATTAAAACTTTTTATTTAGTTGATGAAATAAACAAGTAAATCCCAAAAAGCTAGCGCAATTAACACATTCAAAATCATGCATGTACTGTATTGTACTTATTGAACTCTAAACTGAACCGTACTGCAGGTATTTTGGTGTACTGCATTGTACTATGTCCTCTATTGTGCTGTACTGCATTGTACTGTTTGCTCAATTGAACTCTGTACCGTATTCTTAAGCCCTTCATTTTATTTTTATGTACTGTATTGTACTGTATTGTATTGTTCTGTAGGGTGCTATGTTTGGAGAGTACAGGATAGTTGACGATGTACTGTTCTGTATATTAAACAAGAGTAAACCCAAGAAACCTGCTCAAAAATTCAGGAAATATATTCTATTCTCAATTGAAGTTATTGCGGAAAATTAAAAACAGGTCGAAAATGTCTATCACATCGTTTAAAAAAAAAAACTTCCAAGATTTCAAAACTTTATTTTTCAGGGTGGCCAAATTGAACGGATTGTACGTGTTTTTTTTTACAATAAAAAATGTATGGATTGTACGGTTAATGTCTGAAATTTTACGGATTCTCATGACCGTCAGTCCGGAAAACATTATTTTTTTTCAATTTTGACTTAATTAAAAGCTAATTTTGTCGTCAAAATGAAGTTCTACTTATTATCTTTATTCCGAATTATGTTAGATTGTTGTTTTAATTTACAATCAAAACTCAATCTTTTATCTTTTCGAGAATATGTTCCAGAAATACATGATGTCCCACCAAAAAAAAACTTTGCTGTAGGGGTATTTACTATTATTATTATTAAAGGACAACCCATCATTCAATGAAATAGGGGTCGGCGCTCCTAGCCGCCGAAAGGTTTCCATGGTCTGACCGAACTGGTCACCCTAGGGAGAAGACTTACACTAGGCGATCTGCCCAAGACAGCTTCATTTCTGGAGACTCTAAAAACCAGGCTGTCCGCCCAAGACAGCTCCATTTCTGGAGACTCTCTAAAAGTTATGCGGTCTGTCCAAGACAGCTCCATTTCTGGAGACTCTAAAAACTAGGCAATCTGCCCAAGACAGCTCCATTTCTGGAGAATCTCCAAAAAACTAGGCGGTCTGCCCAAGACAGCTCCATTTCTGGAGACTCTCCAAAAAACTAGGCGGTCTGCCCAAGACAGCTTCATTTTTGGAGACTCTCCAAAAAACTAGGCGGTCTGCCCAAGACAGCTCCATTTCTGGAGACTCTCTAAAAACCAAGCAATCCGCTCAGTACGGCACCGTCACCAGCTTTCATTATTTGGTACTGAGGAAACAATTTTCCTTAAATTAAAATCAAGGTGTCATTGAAACGCTAAAATTTCCTGTTATTTCCAGGTTTACATTTTTTCTGTCTATGTCTCATAAATTTTTTTTTGTTACAACCACTTGGTCATTTTATTTTGCTAAGATTTAGATGAAATATTTATATGATAACGCGAGCTGTTGAATGTACTGATGGATAAAAATAGCTAATTTTTCCGACTGAACAAAGTTTGCATGAAATATGGCGAAACCATATCTTTCTTTTGATCATTATTAAAATGTCAATTTTATGTTTAGATTGCTCGAGCTCAAAAATAATCATCGATTATATAAAATTTTAGCCTAAATTAGTTCAAGAAAATATGTATTTTTTTTTCCTAATTTTAAAACAATTGAATTTGTCTTGAGTTTGTGTAGAATAATATTATGGTTCAGAAGAAAACGAAGAGACTCCATGGTTTACCACGATGTTCCTGATCAGGTTAATTCATTTATTTATTTCATTCATTTCAATTCATTGATGCCGTTCATTGATGCATTTCATTGATGCAGTTCGTCGGTGCAGTTCATTGTTGCAGTTCATTTTTGCATTTCATTGATGCAGTTCATCGATGCAGTTCACTGATGCAGTTCATTCATGCAGGTCATTGATGTAGTCCATTGATGCAGTTCATTGATGCATTTCATTGATGCAGTTCATCGATGCAGTTCATCGATGCAGTTCATTTTTTTATAAATTTCTAGAAAGTATTTGTTACATTATCTTTATTTTTAATTTGTAATAATTTTGGTCATTTTCTGTTGGACTGATGAGGATATGAAATATATCGAAATTAATTTCCAACCCCGAGTTTTTCTACCTGGAGAGTGAAATCTTTTTTGGCCAGTTTGGACAATTTACATTTACACATTTCTAAAGGGGTACAGCAGGTTCCCACAGCCTTCTCTCACACTTAGATAAGAAGATTTGAAGAACATTCCTAAACTGGTTCATCAGTTTCTTCACTGAGATCAGTTTACTAAACTTACACTAGACATTCGTATAGCCGGCCAAACGGCTGGACCGATTGGGCTGAACATTTTTTTTAACACTGAGGGTTGGCTAGAGGGTGTTATAGACCAAAATGATTTCAAAATTATTTTTTTTTTCAAAAAATTTTCATAATTTTCCAAGGGCAACGCCGGGCACTTTAGCTAGTATTATTTATTTCTGGAAGCGATACAGAGCTCAGACCCGTGAACTGAAGAACAATTTCTCAGTCACGGGTTGGATTAATATTAAAATTGATTTTTAATAATGAGCTTTAATAGGCTTAATGTATAAAATTTGCCAAGCATACATGAAAATTTGATCCAGGTGTGCGAAGTGCTGACATATTATAACAATATATAATGAATTGATGTAACACTTTCAAAGTTGATTAGACCCGAGAATATGATAGCTCTAGAATTGGATGATCTTAACCAGCTGTTACACAACTAGAAATAACAGGATGAGAATAGAGGAGATATTCACATTTCGAAATTAATAATTCACACTAACTACATATATTCATTTTTTTAACAGGATGTATCCCGGATTTGGATAAGCATCACAATAAAATGTGTCTGCTCTGTGGGTTTCCCTGTATTAAGATATTAATATTTACACTGTAAAATATTGAATTTACACTGAAAAACATTTTATTTAATTTATAAAAATCTTGATTTAATCTGTAAAATATTGAAGATTTTATCAAAACTCGTCTTAACAAATGTAAAATATACTTATAAAGTTGTCTTCAATAGTAAGCATTAATAATTAAGGAGTTTCTACTGGAGTTCTACATCAAGGGCCCAAGGTTCCAGAAGTTGTTCTGGAGAAACTACAAGATCCTCAGCAAGTATTCTAACGGGAGTGAGCAGTTGGATATTGTTAACTTGAACGAGAAGGAGTTCCCGAGGTAAGAAGGCACTCAGGAGTATTTAATTTCTATGGAAACCTTTCTCTCTATCTAGTCTCCCTCTTCTCTCGTCTCTCTCACTCTCACACACTCTCACACTTACATTCTCACTGACTCTCTCAATCTCCCACTCTCTCTATCTCTCAATCTTTCGCTCTCCCAATCTCTCACTATTTCGCTCTCCCAATCTCTCTCGGTCTCTCGGTCTCGTGCTGAATTGGGGAAGAGTGGAATGTATGCCATATAGAGGTAGTAGTGCTGTTAGGGGAGATGGATATGATTTAACTTGACAATTTTATAAAAAGATTATATACAAACATACACTTTATTCATCTCTAACACACTCCACCCTCAGAATTTGATTTTCATTCGTGAGATTTTCTGAGAGAAAAATTGTTTCTGTTAAATTGAATTGAACAATAACATAGCAATTAGCCTAGTCCAAAGAAGGCTTGTGAAATAAATATCCCGGGGGCCGAAATTTATGAAATGGAGAGGTCGTTGAACAACTTTTCACCGGTTCAAATCCATGTACATCTTTAAGTTTGAATGGGTTATTCAAGTTCTGAATCGGCGGTAGATAGTTCAGCGACCTAGTTCAAGTTGATAAAATTCGGTTCCTGAATGTTAATCTCTCTGTTCTGGTTATATAACAAGCTAATCAAATATTAAATTGATAAATCATCTCTTCTGGAACTTTTTGTGTTAAGTCATGGATTCATGACTTTCAAAATTCAAACAAAGACAATATAATTCTTGTCATTTGTCTACACAAATTTCTAGAACGGCCAACATTAAATCAGGGGTTTACAATTTCTATTTTATATGAAATGATTTTCTTGCAAGTCCCATTTTTTCTACAGGGTTTGTAATATTTTAAAGTTTCAGGTTGCTTCTCATTCTTTGTGGTGGGTAATCCTGCATTGTACCACTTCAGTCCTAAGTTCGATTTCTTTGTCCGGTTCTAGCTATGATTTAGCTGCGACTTCCTAGCTTAGCTATGATTTTCTATTCGTTAGTCCAAAATCAGAGCAAGATCAAAGATCTGAAGTCGGAGCTAAATCATAGCTAAATATCAGCTGATGGAAATCACATCTAAGGTTGGATTTAGCTTCGACTTCACAGCTAAATCACAGAAAATGGGAACAAACTATTCGCCATTTTTAGGCATTCACCATAATTTTGGGCACAAATAAGCAGACATTAAAACTACTAAAATTGAAAAACATAAGAATAGAGACCAGAAATAATATGCCAAGATGCATAGTTCAGAAAAATGAATATTTCTAAGATTTTTAAAAAAACCTTAAAAATAATATTTTTTCAAAAAAGATATTTTTTACCTTTTAACGAATGAATTAAAAAATATTTTCTAAAAAATACATTTTAAAATAAAAAATCAAAATTTTCTTAAGAATATTTATTTTTATTTTGAATACTAAAAAAAGTTTTTTCTAAACAAAAAATAAACCTTTTTATCAGATATTTCCTTTTATATTGTATCAAATCGCTATTTGGTAAAAAGGGAGGTTGCAATCTTAAATATCATCATTCAAAAGAAATAATGTGTTTCTTATTTATTGTAGTTTCTGGTTCTTCCACTGAAATGTCTTTAATTGAATAGAATTCTGAGTGCAGGGGCGAATACAGGGGGGGGGCGGAGGACATTCGCCCCCCCCCCTGAATTTGGAATTTTTTGTTCCTATTTTCAGAATAGCTTCTCAATAGCATGCTTAAGGGAAAGAAACCCTAGTGCAAAACAGGAAAAATATCTGTCATAATAAACTATAATGTGTGAAAAGTTAAAAATCTAGTTTTTTAGTCTTCAGTCATTAATTTTGACTCTTTTGGGGTTTTTTAAGTTAAAAAAATGTTCGCCTTCGGCGCAATTTTTTGTTCCTAAGAAATCTTGCCCCCCCCCCCCTCACTTAAATCCTGTATCCGCCCCTGCCTGAGTGACATATTATATCATAAGAACGAACGAAGACGACCGTCATAATGTTTCCTGGTTATCTCTGAAGTTACAAAATGTCTTTTTCAGGTTGGTGTTCAGTCCAGTCCGTAGTTATCATTTCGAATCCTACTCCCCACTCTAGCAGCCCATTTCTCTCTCATGATCATATTCACTGATGGATATAGTTGTGAGGTTTGTTATGGTCTTCAAGAATTTGAGATTTTCACAATATTTAAAAAGGCTTTCTCTCAGTTTTTTATATTAAAATTTTATTAACGAAACAAATCGTTTTGATCAACCGCTGTGGTTGCCATCTATGTCTGCAGACAGTGCTTAGGATCCGGATCAGCAACATTTATCTTTCTGGTTCCGGATCCACAAATCGGACAAAATATTGCGGATCCGGGTCCGTCGGATCTTCAATATTTTGGCATCCTGGATCCGGATCCAAGGCGCAAAATATTGACCAAACATTTTTTAAAAAATATTTTTGCTCTCAAACTCCAACTCTGAACTTTTGAAAAAAGGGAAATTGTTAAAATTGTCCTAACCTCTTAATGGTTCAATTAGTTTTAGCATAAAAACACCGATGGAAAAAAGAAGAAACATAATTCAAAAGTTTTTCTTTTGTTAAAAAAAATATACCCGATAAACATCGGGTAGAGAGAAAGTACCTAAATTTATTACTAAAGATACTATTACTAATGATAGTTTTGCGAATTTGTGTTGATAATTTTCTACGTTAAAGTTTTGATTGTTAGTAGGCATAATGGTAAACGTATTCTCCGTTCATTCCTAATCTTCTGTTATCAGTTAAAATGTTGCTTTATGTAATAAAAGCAATCATGTGGAAAATAGCAGTATGTAAACATAGTCGATTTTCATGGAGCCACCAGAAAGTCAAAAGTTTTTGAAAGTGTTTATTGGAATTTGTGATGCTATCGTTTAATCAAATCATAACTGAAATTTTTCTTTGTCCTGATCATATGCAAATTGATATTAATTGATATAATTTGAAATAAATTTTTGAATTAAATCGTATTTATATTTTACGATTAAGTAGACTTTAAAACCTTGTATTAAATTCTAAGTCAAGCTTGTAAAGAATCAAATCATTCAATTTTTTTATCCAAGACGTAAAAAAACCGATCGTAATATAGAGAGGAACGAACTTTTCTTGAAATTAATTTAGTGTTGAGAGATAAAAGGTGACGGTGATAATGGTATGTAAATTGTAAACATTCTGTGAATTGTAAAGAAACGCTTAATTATTAAAAAATATTAACCATTTCTGATTTTTTTGAAAAACCGACCCGCCGTTTGACTCTCCTCCACCCTATCATATGCATAAAATATTTTTGTTGCAAAATAATTTAACAATTTTGAAGTTAATTTAACTGGATTTTACAAAAAAATAGTTTTGCAAACATGCATTTTTTGCAGATTCTAAAAGTAAAGAATAAGAGGCTTTCCAATCATGCATCATTTGTCATATTTGGACATCAAACATGGGATTAAGAGGGAGCGTATTCTAGTTTTCAAGTACCCCAGCAGGTATAGGGTTAAGATAACCCATGCACTTTTGTTACTTAAGCTACAGATCTAAAAGTTACATTTTTGAAAAGCCTTTGAAAAATTTATTTAAAAATAGGTTTCTTTACAGGGTGAATAAAGAAATTTCAATTGATATTTTTCCTTAATACCGGTTTTTTAGTGGAGTGAACAACGACCGCTAGGGGATAAACTAAAAAAAAATCGGCGCGCCAAAAATTCAACCCACTAAGCTAAACCTCCACTACGCCCCTCACTATTTCTCCTCTATTGGAGAACTATGTTCCAGCATCCTTGGATGAAAGTAGTTTTCAGAAATCCACCTATGTTTGCTTATAGGATTTTTGTGGTTAATTGTGGGTAATGTGTCAATTGTAAAAAACCATTCTATAAATTGTTAACAAACACTCTATCTCCTCCATTATACAAAGACATTGGAGAACCATGGTCCATGATCCTTGGATGAAAGAGGTTTTTCAAAATCCACCTATGGTTACCTACAGGAGACCTCCTAATCTCATGGATAAACTCATCCAAGCCAGAATTCCAGATCCTCCTAGAATGAGGCAAGAGACAAATACCTGGAATGAAATATTGTGGTTTAAATTGCCCAACTTGTCCCTGTAAGACCAGAAATGTAGTTTACTGTATGACATATGAAAAAGGTAAACAACAATATAAAGGACAGACAACAAGATATTTAGATGAAAGAGTGAGAGAACGTATTGATTACATTAGAAATCTTTACACAAACCAGCTTGCAGGAGAACATTTTAACCTTCCTGCACATGAACTTCACCCTGTAAAAGTTAGCGTACTAGAGAAGGTTTTGGACCTTGGGAGAGAATTACTTTAAGTACGAGAATCAACATACATCAGAGACTTATTGGCCAACTAAGAGAAATGAACAGAAGAAACTAGTTCTTATTCAATTTTAATCTAATTCAGTATATTTTTTTTAAAAGAATATTGTGAGGTTTGGAGCGTTTGTAACACCAAATGTTTATTCTAGATATCATTTAAATTATCAGTGTATTAAGTCAATATGTATGTTGACTAATATTTAAAGTTTACTTTTGAAAGGGATTGAAAAAAACTGTTTCTTTTTCTCAAACAAACAAAATCATAGTTCGTGAAGTAACTTCTTAAAGGACTGTCCTCAATGCTACAATGTTTTAAAGTAATAATAATAATTTGTATCTTTTGATGCTTTACATATGGCAGCACTGGTGAAGATTTTCCTTTATTCTGAATTTAAGCAACCTTTGATGACCTAGACACTTTATATAAGGATAAACTATGAATTATTCTAGATAAAATTGTCAAATTTGAAATACTCAAGGAATAGTTGATTTATTGAGTTGCAAAAAATACAAAGATTTATTTTACAGTTTGAGACGAATGTACAATGTCTATAAAATTGTTCCGTCCCATCTCAGGTTAAGAAAATCGTTTTTTAGAGGTAAATTTTTATTAAAAATTCGTGACAAATTATATAAAAATTCCGTCAGTTATTGAGTTGAATGATTCCACAGACGAGACGAGACCCAGCATTTCCGGTCTTCTTGCTTTCTTCGTTACCGCCGAGCCCTAAATCGTCCTCCCCGGCGTGTATGACGATGGCTCGTCCGGCAATATCGTTCTTTGCACCGTCACCCAGAGTAATAAGCCTTTAACAAACATATTTAGTTGATCCTTAAATATAGAATAAAGCTCTTCTCTTATATATATAATTAAATATTTCTACATTACAAATGTTGATCATATTCATTGAAGAAAATATAGGTACTGCCAAGGATGTAATGCAATGAAAGATATTTCAGAAGTGTACGCATCTTTTGTACTGCAGTGTACTACTACTGTATTTGGGCGGTAATGTAAACACAAGACGGATGTTACAGCCTGACATGGGATCCATCTTTCACATAAACAAAATCAATGAAATATTCTGGTCATAGAAACTATTATGTGAATTATCAAAATTATCAAATTTAATGCTTTTAACCTCCTCGGATACTAAACGAACTCTGATGCATCAATTCTTGTTTACAAATTCCGCCCAAAGAGAACTGGTTTTAATATGTACGCAGAGTATACACGACCGCAATTAACTTTCCTTGCATTACACCCTTGGGTACTGCATTGCATATCACCATGGTACAAGTTTTCTTAAAAGGCTCCAAAATAAGTTTGAGGCAAATAAAATAGTGACTATTTAAAACAAACATGAACATTCAAATTACCTGTCAACAATATATATATTTGAAACAAACTTGAACATTAAAGTTACCTGTCTACAATATATATATTTAATACAAACTTGAACATTAAAGTTACCTGTCTACAATATATATATTTGAAACAAACTTGAACATTAAAGTTACCTGTCTACAATATATATATTTGATACAAACTTGAACATTAAAGTTACCTGTCTACAATATATATATTTGATACAAACTTGAACATTGAAGTTACCTGTCTACAATATATATATTTGTCGGTCCGTATTCATGAGCAATTATATTTCCAAGATCCCCAGCATGTCTTTGTTGGTCTTTAGGTCCACTGTGCTCAGCCATATCAGGGTTAAAGTGTCCCTTAGCATCCTAGAAATATCAATGGTTAAAGTGTCCCTTAGCATCCTAGAAATATCAATGGTTAAAGTGTCCTTTGGTACCTATAGAAATATCAAGATTAAAGTATCCCCTGTAACCTAGAAATATCAAGGTTATCCCTTAACATCCAAGAAATAAGAGTTAAATTGTTCCTTAGTATCTTAAAAAATATCAGAGTTAAATTGTCCCTTAGTATCCAAGAAATATCAGGATTAAAGTATCTCTGAGCATCCTAGAAATATTAGGGTGCTATTGTCTGAGTATCCTAGAGATATTAGTGATATATTGTCTGAGCATCCTAGAAATATTGGAATTGTATTGTCTGAGCATCATAGAAATATTAGGGATTTATTGTCTGAGCATCCTAGAAATATTAGAATTTTATTGTCTGAGCATCCTAGAAATAATAGAATTGTATTGTCTGAGCATCCTAGAAATAATAGAATTGTATTGTTTGAGCACCCTAGAAATATTAAAATTTTATTGTCTGAGCACCATAGAAATATTAGGGTTGAATCGTCTGTGAGCATCCTAGATATATTATGGTTGAATTGTCCCTTAGCATCCTAGAAATAATAAGGTTGAATTGTCCCTTAGCATCCTAGAAATATCCGGATTAAAGTGTTCATATATTCTACCTTACACTGATAACTAAGAGGTATATATCCTACCTTACTGTGATTACCAAAATATATTTTCTACCTTACACTGATCACGAAGAGATATATCTCTTACATTGCAATGATTACCAAGAGATATATATCCTACCTTTCACTGATCACCAAGAGATATATATATCCTACCTTACACTGATCACCAAGTGCTCCCTCCATATGAACATGAAAGCCATGAAGACCAGGTTTAAGACCGCTCACTTGACCGGAAATTATTACTCCAGCGTAGGGACGATTTACAGAACTAAGAGAAATAAAGATATCTAGATATATATTGAATCATGAAAGAATTATACTTTTAAAACTTCATTTATTTAGAGGAATGTTTTTTCAAGAATTACACCCACTTATTCGAAAATATGCTAAGTTTAATATATAATAAAAGTGTATCCTCTAAAAGTTTGTTTTCATTAAAGTAAGCAAATTCTATTTTCTAGCAGAAGTAAATAGTCTAAAAGAACGTTAACGAAAAATAAACGTTGCTTTATTTAGGCTTATATATTCTCTCAGAGACAAAACTATACACAATTTCTTTTAAAAAAACTGATAAAATATTTAATTTTGATAAACCCAAGATTTCAAAGATATTTGTAAATCCTCAAATAAGGCAGTAATCCGGGAATATCTTTTTAACGAATAATAACAATGCCTAACTTAATTTTCTTTTTTCTTTGATGTACAGACATATTACAGTTCTTGGAAAAGCCTTGGACCAATAACAATTTTAGATCGTATTTTTAATTAAAGGGAACAATCACTTTAAAGAGTAATAGCCTGATATAAATAAATCTCTTTACAGAAAACTAACCTGATATAAATAAATCCCTTTACAGAAAACTAACCTGATATAAATAAATCCCTTTACAAAAACTAACCTGATATAAATAAATCCCTTTAAAGAAAACTAACCTGATATAAAGGGTTCCTGATACACCATCATCTGAACCAGGCACAAGTTTGACAACTTCAAAAATACTATTAGTTCCATTTATATTCTATATACTTTCCTTATCAGGGTGTTTGTTTGTAACCAATAAACGTCAAAACGGCTAAACAGATCGGGCCCAAATATTGTGTGGGACCTCACATGACCCACGGGAAGGTTTATGGAACATAAAAATTGGAAATATTGGGATTTTTTTTAAATGGGCCATTTTGAAATGAACAATTTACCAAACTTTTGAAAAAAAATTTAGAATGGCCGACTTCTATTAAAGGCTAAACTTATTTACTGGCCGCCTTAAAAGCCTAGTTTCAGGAAACTTACAGATCGGAATATGATTTTAAAAATGTTTTTAAAGTTCTGGTTGCAAATCTAAATCTTGAGCAGAAAATAAATGATAACTTTTGAATTTCAGAAAACCGCGTTGGACAAAGAATATTTTAAAGATTAAACATATGGAGTTCTCTGCCTTTGATAATCAGTCAAAGGTTTAAAGGGCACTCCGTTCTTTGCAAGGAGAGTGAATTGAAATATAGCGTACAGTCCGTTTAATATACCTGCTCTTCTTGGAGGACCAAAAAATACAGCGGAGGTTGGTTCCGGGACAGAAACAGATAAATCTTCAGTAAAAACTCTTGCAGAGGCGGGCTCTGAATTGGCGGAGTAGGGGGAGGCGGAGACGACGGAGGAAAGAAGAACTGCAATGGCGAAGGGAGACCTATAGATATAATTAAAGTTTTTTTTCATTAACATTCTTTATCTTTACACGTGAAAGTATGAAGTGCTTAGGATCCGGATCCAAGGGGGAAATTTTCAACCAAAAAAAAGTTTGCTTAAAAACCCAAATCTGAACAGAAAGAGATTGCGAAAATTTTCCGTAACTCAGAACAAGTTTTAGCAAAAGCATAATTGGAACATTTTTTTTATTTTTCAAAAAAATCGCTAAACCTTAATAAATGTTTATGACCTGGACTTTTTTTAATTTTCTTTAGGGTCTAACCAAGATCCGGATTCGCATCAAAATGAACTGGATCCAAAGCACTGCGTACATCACACACTAATTCCCAAAATTAGCAGACATTTGGCATTATCAAACATTGTTCAGAACCCGGAATATTGGTTAAAATAATCTATTTTACTTACCACATACTGCTGACTACTTGTGTTGTGTAGAGCCTACGTGTTCCCTATCCTAGGTTCAAAATTCAACTGACTAGCAAACTGGAAACCGAGATTTGACGTTACATCATGAAACCACATTTGTTGGTCATTGTGTAAGCTGGATACAGGGGGTTCTTAAATAAGAAATACAAATTTTCCGTTTTTTATACACCTTCTCACTAAAATCTCCTAAACGGTTTAAGACCTTAGAGCTACAGAGCGTCCCATATGATAATGGATTATCTCAAAGCTTTAACACCAAAATGCGCACATAAAACTTTTTAAAAAACCTATTATTTACTGCATGCAAATTTTTAAATGAGCCTTACACGATTTTTTCGAATGACTCAATTTTTGAAAATTTTCTGATCAGTCACGTTGGGACACCCTGTACAAAACTTATGAAACTTAAATTGCAATACCCAATCCTGCTTACGCAAATGTAAACTGCTTACATACACTTCACAATATGTACAGGGCATTCAATACTATATTGGATTGTACGATGTACATAACTTTTAAACAAAACAGATTTTTAAGAACGGGGGATATCTACGATATTGGTTAAAAATTCATTAATTGATATTAGTGTTCTAGAAAAGGATATGGGCAATGAATTGTTTTTTTTTTTAATTTAAGGTTTTTGGACCACAAAACATCTAAAAAGTTTTACTTTTCATAATTTTTTATCAGAAATTCAATCCTTTAATATTTCAAACAATGAATTCTGGAAATGCAATAAGCCAATGTTTGAAAGGTTGTAAGATATAGAACTTTGAAAATTATAGTATAACTAGGTTGTTAAAATAGTTAAACATATAAATCTAAGTTTGTTGGAAATGAATTAATTCTTATTTGATGAAAAAGACAGTAGAAGTTTTTCAGTTGACTCTTCGTTTAAATCAGTGGCATACTGGCATACTGGCATACTGGCATAATGGCATAATGGCATACTGGTATACTGGCATACCGGCATACTGGGATACTGGCATAATGGCATACTGGTATACTGGCATACTGGTATACTGGGATACTGGCATAATGGCATATTGACATACTGGCATACTGGCATACTGGCATACTGGCATATTGGGATACTGGCATACTGGCATACTGGGATACTGGCATACTGGCATACTGGCATACTGGCATGCTGGCATACTGGTATACTGGCATACTGGCATACTGGTATACTGGTATATTGGCATACTGGCATACTGGCATACTGGCATACTGGCATACTGTCATAATGGCATACTGGTATACTGGCATACTGGCATACTAGCATACTGGCATGTCATGTCACAATTAATAAGTATTACTCATAAACGTTTTGTCTAATCGTATATGTATGAGAAATCCATAATTTTCTCACAGAATAACTGAGGATACATATGATGAGATGTGTGATATCGAAACTATAGTACAAGAAACAGCACAGAGCTTCATTAAAAGAGATCCCGAATATGATGGAAATCCAGAGATAATGTTCGAATGGTGCGAAAACTGGGAAACTCAACTGCTGAACGATGACTGGAAAACAATCCCAAATAAAGAGATAAACAAAATGATTATTTCATGTATCACAGGAGCAGCTAGAAGAGAGATAATACCGTTTTTGCAACTGGGCGCTATATAAAATCTCAGAACAGAATAATAGGCTTGATAGCAATAGGTAAAAGCACGGCTCGCTTATAGATATATGAATGGATAAAAGTTTTCTATAGCATTACAATTTACAAAATTATTTAGTGGAATTTGAAAAAATACCTAATTATTACTGTGATACGCACTGAACAAGTTTAGTTCTGAATGGAATTGCAGACGTAATTTCGAGTTACCCTTTATCAAGGAGTGCCATGTACCATTCACATAGGTATAAACCTTTGATCAAAGAGTGGCATGTACCATTCACATAGGTATAAACCTTTTTCTGAGTCACATTTAGTGATATATTTAGACTTCTTAGAATTTTTCACGATGTCTGTTTAAGCGTAAATGTGCAAGCCATTTTTATAGGTGACTCTCTTTGAAATTTTTACAACAGTCCCTTTTTCTTTCTTTCTCTTTTGAGTGATACTTTGGGCTTGAAATGAATTGAGTCTTTGCCCCAAATTCTGATTTTTGAATTAATAATTTTAAATTAATGTTTCAATTTTAAGTTAATGTTGCAATTTTAAATTGATGTTGAATTTCAAATTAATATTGCAATTTTAAATAAATGTTGCCAATTTTTATTAATGTTGCAATTTTAAGTTAATGTTGCAATTTTAAAGGGAGTGACCGGCTATGTTAGGTAGTTGAACTGAGTATGCAGTGTTGTGGAAAAAAAATAATTTAAAAAAAACTAATTCTGCAAACGTATCCACCCCCAAAGTAGGAATTTTGAACGTCGAATTTGCGCTCAAACTCTGTATTTTCAGATCTTTAAAAAGTTTAATATGTCTCAAATGAATCCGAAAGAAGCTTTCCACAACACTGCATACTCAGTTCAACTACCTTACATAGCCGGTCACTCCCTTTAAGTTAATGTTTCAATTTTAAGATAATGTTGCAATTTTTATTTAATATCAATTTTTTTTCAAATTTTTTTTAGTTTTTTTAGAAATAAAGTTCTAAAGTTTGGCTCGAAAAAGTTCTCTGGAAAAAAGTCTAAAAACTAAAAGATCTTTAGAAAGAATTTAGAGAATTTATTTTTTAAGAATTTTTTTCTTGTTCCAATTTCATACTAAAAAAGTCCTGGTATCCAAAACCCAGGACTTTATTTCCAGTGACATTTTTTCTTAGGACTTCAGGAAATTGGGACTTTTACTATAGTTTTTTTTTCTACTTGATTTCAGAAACTTTCTTCCCGTGACACTATTCAATTATTTAGAAAATTCAATACGGGACACATGCGCGCCGGAAGACATACTTAAGTTTAAAAGTCGTCTATACACATTTCACAGTTTTATGGGTACCACTATATACGATACTTAAATTTATATTTTGTTTGTACGTCAATTAGCAATTTTTTAATAAAAAAATTTCTTTTTGCACTCTAAAATACGAAATAAAAAAGTTGCTGAATTGGTAACAATAGTTGAATGGCTGCCGAATTAGCGATAAAAAATCGCTTATATTCAACAAAAGATTGCTTATAGTTGGTAGCCATCCAACTTTTGCTACCAAATAAGAGATTTTTTTGATTGCGTTATTTAGAGTTTTATTTTCAAGCCTTAATTGAATAAACTTTACCATGCAAATATTGTTGTTTTACATAATCTAGTAATATAACTGGGTAAGCTTAATAGCTTTGTTAAGATTTCAAAAATGGAAAAATTGTTTTCTTTTTCTTGTTTTAAACTTATGAGAAGGATGAAGGAAGAATAATCCTTGAGCAAAATCAAAAGTTTGATTTCAACTTGAAAAAGTTTTACGAAAGATAAAAGTTTCTAGTTTTTTCCCAACAAACAAAATCAAATGTACAGTGTGTTCCAATTTTTACATGCTAGAAAGGTACCTGGAGAGTTAACCACAAAGGATGAGACTGCTTTGACGAGTTAAAACTCTTTAAATATGGCGCCCAGAATGTTAAATAATTGGGTTACTGTCACGGATACAGTCTTTTCAATAACTATATTAAATGGTTTTGCAAAAAAAAAAATTCAAGTTTACAAGAACAGGAAACCATGAATATAAGAAAAAAAACTGAGCAAATTCCGAACAATTGTCTTTGAACTTCTGAAGTCACATATTTTGTTGACAACCCTGCAGTGTACAAAAGGAATTAATGCTTATGCTAATTAATAATTGTAGCCACCAATGTGCAAACTTTAAAACTAATGCAATAGAGAGCACAGACAACTGTCAAATGTGTGACAAAATATCTGCTGCAGGGTAACATAGGGCTGGGCACGTTCCAACTTTTGTTAGCCGTTTCGTTAATAGTTAGTTCCAGCTGTTCGTTTCCTTAACGGCATTTTCCATTGTTTTTTTTAAATTACCCTTTTTACTAACGGCGTAGATGGAAAATTTTCAACAATCGTTATTAACTCTAGCCCTTAATAGAACCGTTATTACAAAATTAGCCGCGTTAACGGCTCAAAGCGGTCAAACAATTTTCGCTAACGGTTAAGTGTCGTTAACGGTATATTACAGTATTGACAGCGTTAACGGCGAGCAAAATTTCATTAACGGTTCATGAACACAGAAGACGACATTTAAAAACATCAAAACACGAAAATTGTTATATTTTCATAAAGGAATTTCATGCAATTTTAATGGGAAAATAACGAAATTTAACGTTTTTAACTTTTTCTTTAAAGTTCTAAATCGTAATTTTTTTTCTTCAAAAACGGCTGATCCGTTTTTTCAACGATTTAAAAATTAAAGGTTTTTTTGCCGTTCGTTTACGAACTCTTCCGTTAATTTTCGAAAACCTCCGTGTCGTTAACGGAACTTTGCCCAGCCCTAATCAATCAATAACTATGGGGAAATAATTAAAGGACGATGTGAAATCATCTTTAATCTTTGATCCAAATTTTCTTTGTAATTAGAAATTGTAGCTTTTAAAATTGCAGAGATTATAGTTTTGTCGAATGGTTTTGGTCTCATAAGGGAATCCATTGCATGGGCGGTTTTTAACAGTTTCCAAAAGTACATATGCAATAATGCAAATACATATCTATTCTATTTCTGTTGAATCATTTTGCATGTGATATATTTTTAAAATCAATTTTTCAAGGGATTTGTTTAAAAAACAAACATCAAAAATAGAGAAATATTTTCAAAATTATTATGCTTATCAAGATCTACATCAGAGTTGCATTTTTCGTTAGCCTTCTTTTATTTCACTCAACGAAAAACATACAAATATAGAAATATACTTATTAATAAATACATGTATGAGATAGCTTTCATAAGAAAAATTACATTAAAATTAGTAAGTTCTACTTTTTTATATTTTAACAAAATAATACTCGAGTTAATTTTTTGAACTTATTTGTTTCCTCCCCCTGCCCCTCCTCGAAGTAAACCAGGATTAGGTTTTAACCCTCCAGCGAACAGATCTCCTAAACCTAAACATTTTTAATGAAAAAATCTAAGAAATCTAAATTTCAAGAAATATTAAGGATAATACAAATATGTATTCAAACCACAAATATTTAAAACAATTATAAATTAACTATGATAATACCAATAATATTTTTATTATTTAGTTATAGCATTTTCTATTATCATAACAATAACTAGATATATCTCCAGGACGTTGAATTAAATTTTTTCTTTTTTTAATTAATTTATCTTAGTAACTTTTTATAAACCATTAACTGGAACTATTCATGTGACCCTAAAATTAAAATAGTAAATACCCACAAAGGATGAGACTTTATAGACAACTTTACGGCATTTATTGAGTTAAATTTTTATACATTCATGCTTCATTGCATTTCAGGGGGAGAAAGTTCCAAACCGTGCTTATGTTCCAAACCGGGGTCAAATCACGGTTTGGAACTTTCTTCCCCTGCAGTTCAAACAAAAAAATTTTTCTTTACAAAACAATTTAGTAAACCATTTAAAGACTACTGAAGATTGAAGGCAGAGGTGAAATCTAGCATTCAGATACGCATGTGGAAAGAGATTTGGTTCGCTGTACCTGCAGGAGACCCTCTCCCCCGACCCTTGCCGCCAGGAGGTGCACCTAGTAGGGCAGCTAGTCCAGGAGGACCGAGTTTACCCGCCACACCCTTTTCTGCTTTACAGGACTAAAATACGCAATCATTAAAACCAGATATATGGTAAACGGATATGTAAATAATAAAGAAAGATATATATTTATTATTTTTCCACCTGTTCTGAATGATTTTGTGCTGATCTTTTGGTTTGTTTGTTTGTTGGGTTGGGAGCAGCAAATCTTACTTTTTCCACATCAACCCAACCGTGGGGGGTGGAGACCTTTCCTAAATACTTCTTCTTTATTTGATAGCTATTTTGTACAAGTTGTACATAAACGTACATAAACTGTACAAATTAGATTCTATTGGTCTCGAAATTATTTTGAACACAGATAGAGATACAGACACAGTTAGTCGAAACACAGATAAAAATACATATACAGATATAAAAAAGCCTCGATCGATGAAGATGAAAATAAAGATATCCGAAAAATTAAATTTTAGATTTGATTTTTTTGCTAGCTCTTCGGTTGTTTTTTCTTTTTTTTTCTTATCATTGTTTTTATTTTAGAAAAATGTTTGTGTTTTTATTAATTCTTTGTATTGTAACCTGAAACAATTGGTGCACTTTTATCCACAGTAATTTGCTGAAGAAATATTATTTAAACAATTAATTATTGTATTATATCATTGGTGATCACTGTTGTTCTCCCATATTCTCATTTTAAGGTTGTGTGAGTTTAGGATCAAGATCTTTAGAACTTGTACGTACACTACTTGCAAACTATAACCTGCCCGGAATTTGTTGTATAAATCTGTAGAAACCTGTAGAAACCATGGGAACCTGTAGAAACCTGTAGAAACCTGTAGAAACCTGTAGATACCTTGGGAACCTGTAGAAACCTTGCGAACCTGTAGAAACCTATAGAAACCTGTAGAAATCTGTAGAAACCTGTAAAAACCTGTAGAAACCTGTAGAAACCTGTAGAAACCTGTAGAAACCTTGGGAACCTGTAGAAACCTGTAGAAACCTTGGGAACCTGTAGAAACCTGTAGAAACCTTGGGAACCTGACGAAACTTGGGGTAAGGGTGAAAAAAACATGAGATAAGGGCGGAGAAACTTTGTGCGGAATGTACATTTGATATCCACAAAAATGGTTCTCATTTTCCCCGGGAAATTGAAATTTCCCTTCAGTGTTAAATTTAAACAGGTTAATATTTAAGATTAAATAGCTGCAACTCATTATTTTTCAGAACTTTTCAGCTGTAACTTAAATTTCGCGCATTCTTTAGTTTTAGACTCTGAAACTAATAAAACCAAAACTTGGATTTAAGAATATTTTAAATAATCTTTCCTTTGCTAGCCCTTCATCTCTAGTTTGCAATGCAGTCAGTACATTCTTCCTCTAAAAATACAGATAAAGAAAAATAAATAATATTTATTGCTACATTTCCAGACAGGAGATAAAAATCAGAGGGATATAGCATTCAAAAGATAAAAGTCAGAGGGATATAGCATTCAAAAGATAAAAATCAGAGGGATATAGCATTCAAAAGATAAAAGTCAGAGGGATATAGCATTCAAAAGATAAAAATCAGAGGGATATAGCATTCAAAAGATAAAAATCAGAGGGATAAAGCATTCAAAAAATAAAAATCAGAGGGATAACGCATTCAAAAGATAAAAAAATAAAAAAATTCTTAAAGGACCATTTACACGTATTGTTATTGTTTTCTTCAATACACCCCATTTTACATATTATGTCCTTGAATCAACCTTCTTTGATGGTAGATACAAAAACGACGATATATCTTTCTAAATGCTGCTCATGTTATAGGTATAGAGGGTACTGCTGAAGTTAAGCCATGCACCACGCTCGCTGCAACTTTTTTGTCGGTGTTAGGTGGCCGGATCAAATAAACTTAAAAAGCGTAAACTTAAAATAAAAATAATTTGCTAAGATTCATGCGCATAACACCCTTTTTCAAACAAATTTTCAAATGTAAATGATGAAAATTCGCTAAATTTGTTCGACATAATTTTTAACATTAAAAAAAAATATGTATACAATTTTCAGAGGGAAAAAGTTAAAAAAAAAACTTAATATGAGTGTCAATAATGTTTTCCTTCCCCTTTCCTTCATGGTTTGTTTTGAGCTTAGGAGGGGGGGGGGAGGGGGTTAATTTGTTGAGTTTGTTTTCTAGTTTTTACATGATGTAATGATAAAATATGTCAATATTGACATTCTTATTTTGACGTCAAGTGGATTTGTAAGCATGAAAAAGTTTCTTTCATGCACAATAATTTTTAAATCTAGAAAAATTTTATATTTTGTCATAAACCTTTCAACTTGAAAAGAAGAGTCAATAAATTTTACAAGAATTTCTGGAAAAGAAGTTTGACCTAGGAGCAAACTTGTAATTACTTGTATGTTTTGTTGCCATCAATCTATTTGTATACAATACTATTTTCCTTATAGTTTCTATTAATACATTAAGCTTTTTTTTCTTGCAGCCTTGCTTTATAATGGAATATTTTGCGTATATTTCTTGTTTTAAATTTAGATTTCCAACATTTTTCGAAAATCAACACTTTTTGTAACTTTTTTTTTTTAAAAAAGGCGAAAAAATTTGATCTCTTTCACTAACTTCTCAAAATTTTAAATAAAATAACGAAATTCGAATGAGACACTGAACCCTTGCCCTTCCAGGGGGGGGGGGGGATTTATAGCCATTTGATCTATATTTAATCTATATTTCCTGAATTTCTTCTTCTGGACTCCATTGCGGTTTTTCAGTGTTTGCCTGCAAGATAAAAATGAATTATACACGCTACAGTATTATTGTAGTTTTGAGCTGTTAAGTTTTTAAGAAACTTATAAATTTAAAATAATATTAATACAAACAAAGGGATCGAGTCTTTGCCACAGACTCAAATGTTCTAATTTATAAACCTTTTCAACCTGATGGTGGAAACCATTGATATTTCAAGTTTAGATTATTAAATCTGGCTGAATTCATAGTTTGTAATATTTAAGGTTTACAACATCAGGTTGCAAAGATATCAGAAAAATTGAGTTTGTTGCAAAAACTCAATTCCTTTACTCAGAGGCCGTATTTAAAGAATTTGAGCTGCGACTCAAATATGGTTGGTTTCACTTGGTATTCATTGTTTTAAGTTTTCAGCCGGCGCTCAATTGAAACTGGTTTTTGGGGGATTTTAGACGCCACTCAAATTCATTAAATTCGGATTCAGGACTTATTTCCTGAATTTAAAAAAAAGCAAAACATAAATGTAAAACATAAGCACCTTATTAAACCCCGGAGTTCCCACTAATTAGCTTTAAATGGTAAATTTTTCCATTTAAAGGAATTGTTTCCAAATTTGAGTTCTATTTTTTGCAAACTAAAGATTCAAATGAAACAAACATTTTTTATTAATTTGTATAGAATTTATTGCGTTTTTAAAAAGTTATTGAAACTAGAATATGGTAAACGATTAATAGTTTTATTTGTATAAAAGTTTACTATATAATCAATAATATTCGTAAGATATATTAGAATTGGATATTAGGGCGAAATGTCAATTTTTAGATAGAACTTCTTCTTAAACTTCATAATCCAGAATTGTTAATTTTTTAGTTAAAACTTATTCCTAAGGCAGGGCCAATACTTCCTTTCATAGTTAGCATTATTTTTTTCTGAAAAAAGTTTGGAATTGAACCATGTACATTGTACAATGTATAGTAGAGATGGGAGCGTTCGACTTTTTTATAATTTAGTTCGTTCATCGTTCGTGAATGACCTATTTCGTTCGTTTTTTCTTCAATCTTTCAAAAAAATATCGATTTTGTTTGTTCTTAAAACTATCGTTCTTAATCTCGCTAAAAAATCATTTAAACGATTTCAAATTGTTCTTTTGTTCGTTTTCAAAAAACGATGGTTTTTTTCATTTCTCTGAACGATCCAAGTCATTTTTCCATCGTTCGTTTTTTTGTTCTGAACGACACTATTTTTCGCAAAATTTTGTTCGTTCTCAAAATGTTTGTTCATTCACTAAACGATGCCCATTTCTAAGCGTACATAGATTCATTCAGCTTACATTGTGGGCATAAAACGTGCTGGTTCCACTACACAGGGGGTAAACTAGAACGGCTGGTAGTCTAGTAAATGCCGGTCTAATCCACCAATTAGACTGGTGTAATTTCAATACAGTACAATTTCTACCTACACCATAAGATGCCGTGCCAGTACAACAGAAAATTAATGAATACACTGTAGTTTACTGTGTGTGACAGATTCCATTATAAAATATCACCTTATTTTCTTAAATCAATATAAAATTCAAAAAATGCATATAATCTCAACTGTTGATATAAAACTCGGGATTCAGGAGTACTTTGTACATTATACAATATAAATTTTTCAACATTTTAGATTACCCTCGTAAAAATTGTAAAAGTATAATGCAACTATATAGACTTTCATACTTAACCCTTTTCTAGGGGGGGGGGGGGGGGGGGGGGGGGGTCCCAGGAACTCAATAACGTTTTTTTGAACTTAACTTAAAAGTATTGGTCTGAAGCTGTTCATTTTTTTTACTTTTCTAACTCACACAGTCACCTTTAAAGCCAATTCGCACATTTTCAGTTTTTCCCGGGTTTCTTCACAATTTGGCTCAGTTACTGGATTTTGCAATGCAAATTTGGATTAGTGAAAGTCAATTTTTTTTATTCGCAGATAATTGAAGTAGAGATCAAAATATTATCAAATGTTATAGATTTGTGTCACAATAAGAAAATATCCCCCCCTCCCCCAAAAAATATATTTACACCATTGTTGGTATCTTTTTTGTTTCAATTAGAGAAACGATTTGAGTACCTGAGAGTAAAATACACATTTTGTTCCTTTTTTTCAGTCGTTCAGTAAAAATTGTAATACGGTTGATTTTAAAATGATCATTAATTTTCCTTCTATTTCGTTCATATCTCTAATTAAGCGATCGTCCAATTAAATCGTTTGTTCAGTGAGATCATTAATGTTCAGCAAAATCGTTTGTTCAATAAAGTTGTTAAAAAAACGAAAGTTTTTAAAAGGTCATTCGAAAATGACGTTCTTTTAGTAAAAAACGATAGTTTTGTAAAAAGCTATATTTTTTTTTCAAAAGTTTGTTAAAAATTGTTCGTTAAGAAAAAATCAATTATTGTTCCTTTTTACTTCAAATTTATAAATCGTTTATAAACGGTCTGACTGATCAATAAAATGCGAACGATCATCACCGTTTTTTAATCTATCGATTGTATTTTCTCTGAACGATCCAATTTTTTCAACCAATTCTGAATTGGAGCTTAAAACCTTTGGAGATCACTGTAAAGACTAACTAAAGTTTTTGTATTTGCGAATTATTTACATTAAAATTTACAGATCTTCACAATGATAAAGTTATTAGAATCTTTTAACAGATAGAAAAAGAAATAAAAAAAAGTGAATATGAAGAGGACACCTGTTTATCTCCTGATTGCATAACATCACTAGAATGAAATATTTAGAAATGACGGATCTGAGGGAACTGCAGAGAAAGCCAAGTATATCTAAAGTATTCATATATGTGATGATGTAAGGGATTTAAACAGTCTACACATATCCCCTCCTTCAGGACATAAATAGTGGGTAAAAACAAACAGACAAACAGAGATAAGTACTTGGTAAAAGAAAACCCCCTCTCCTCTTCCTTTAGGACATATAAATATGGATAAAAAAAAAAAATAATAAATGGAAAGCTAGGATTACGAAACCCAAGGGTGTAATGCAAGGTAAGTTCAATGCGGTCGTGTATACTCTGCGTACACATTGAAACCAGTTCGTTTAGTATCCGAGGTGGTTAAAAGCATTAAATTTTGATAATTGTGATAATTCACATAATAGTTTCCTATGACCAGTATATTTCATTGATTTTTTATGTGAAAGATGGATCCTATGGCAGGCTTTGACATCTGTCTTGTGTTTACATTACCGCCCAGAGACAGTACACTGCAGTACAAAAGATGTGTACACTTCTGAAATAACTTTCCTTGCATTACATCCTTGACGAAACCTAAACTATTTCTTAATTATGCTAATTTTTTAACCTTCAAACCATGCGCATGCAGAAAATGCTTTTTTTTCAGAGGATAATTGCATATTTTTGCGGTTCCTTGCGCACCGAGAGAGTGGTGATTTTTTTAATGAAAATATTGCTTTTTGTGCGCAATTGATGGTCCGTTGGGGATTTCTTGACAAGTCTGTGTTTTTGAGTGTTTGAGTTTTTAAAATACCAATTAAAGTTCTACCTATATAACGAAAACTATAACTATTGATTTAATATAATATCATTAAACGTTGATAAAAGCCCATATTACTTGGATGGAAAAATATACTTAAAATTTTTTTCCAGAGCAAGAACGCATTGCAATTTTCGTAGTCAATTGCATGTGTCCGATAACTAATCTGGCTGTTTAAAGTAATAGGCCATAACTTTTTCTAAATAAAGACGACTTTTCCAGCCAAATTAGTTTATTTCTTCATCTATTCTCCCAATAAATAATATTTCCTGCAATGGATATGCTGTATTATATCAACTGATGTAATAAATGTAATTTATCATGGAATTGTAATTCTATTTTATATTCATGGCGTGTCAATATTGAGGTATAAATATGAAAGTAAATATATTTTATATATTATATACGATATCTAATCCAGAGGGAATCATGAAATGTGAGAGATGGTTTATACAGTTATGATACAGTGTGTCACAGAAAAAATGACAGTTAATTAAAGTTAAAAGCAGGTAAATTACAATTCAATAGGACACTCGTTCAAGCAGTTTTAGTCACAGTCTGTCTTAAGTAGAACTTTATACTATTTTATATATTTTAAAGGGAGTGTTCGCAAAAAATGAAAGGGCGTATAGGCTTAATGCGATAAAAAAGCGCTTTTTATCGCTACTAATCTTACTTCTATCTGTTGCGTCTATAAGGAGAAAATTGTTAAAGACGTCTCACACCGAATAACTTAGCGGCCATACAAATTGAGAAAATTTTGTGCATGTCATATTTGAGTTTGCAAAGATTATATGTGTGTTTGTGATAATTCAATGTGTTTGCAAGATATCATTTTTGTGTATATCTTGTATGTTCATGTGTCTTGCAATATTTAATTTGTTATTTCGATGGTCTATTTGTGATAAATAAAGCTTAATGTGTGGTTGCGATATTTCATTTTTTGTGTATGTTTGCGATATTTGTGTGTGCTTGCGATATTTGTGTTTGTTTGCGATATTCGTGTTTGTTTGCGATATTTGTGTGTGTTTGCGATGTTTGTTTGTGTGTGTGTGTGTTCGATGGTTCTGGATCCTCGTAAAATAGTCGAGTAAGGATTCTCCAGTCGGACTGTATCCACAGAGCCCGGAACATTGTTCAAAAATCGAAGTGAAGTTATGATTTTGTAAACTAGAAATATTTTATGAGTAGAACAATTTCTGGATCATATCAAAATGATCAATTTTTCTTCAAATATTGTAAAAGCCCATGTAGATTAGCAAAACAATTTATTTTTATGGTTTTAATGTTTACATAACCTCCCAACCAGCCCCTACACCAGGAGTAACGTAAACAAACAAACATGATTAAAAACAGATTTAATAAAACAATTTCATTAGTTCCGATTAAATTAATAATCCGATAATAATAATTGTTTAATTGTGAATTTGCAGAATACATCTATTTGGGCTAAAAAATAGCAAAAATACTTTTGTAATCCTCAGGAGAAAAATCAAGTTTTATTCAATGTTTAAAGTTTTTGTGTTTACCGTCATAACCTAGATTTTAGCTTAGACTAAAATTACTTATAAAAACGGAAATGAATTCCTGTATTTGATGAAGCTCGTGCAAAATTGCAGTTAGGGTCGACTAGACATTAACCCCATGTTGTTTTGATTTTATTAAAGATAACGTCACAAATATTTATTTCCCAGAAAAACCAATAAAATCAACAGTTGTATACAAAAATATAAAACCTGCATTAGAATTAATAGTCCACTCGTCAAAATAATGATTTTTTGCTAAACTCTGAAAGCAGAGGGTTTGGAGGAGGCTAAATTTTAAGGTCACTACATTTTGAAATTTAAAGCATTCTTAAAGAGTTGATTGTTTTTGGAAATACACAACATATCAGAATGAAAGGTAAGCTGAAGTAAATTGCAGGTTCACCCCACTCTAATAGTTGTTTGATCCGAGCCGGCACAACATGTAGTGTAAATGCATTCAGTCGTACGGTCCAGTCTAGACTACCCGGTGTAAAGTCGACCCCGCAAGTTTTATGTCACAAATGTAGCCTGGCAAGATCACAGTGGGTAATAGATTGAAATCTCTTATGTTTTCATTCATAACTCCTTTTGTCAAAAAGAAGAATAGAAAATGTTTGATATCTAGAATTTAACCGGATAAATTTGCTTTTACATTCGTGTGCAAAAAATCAAAAGTACAGAAACAAAAAGTTGCAATGTCGCGTAAAGTTGTCCTTCTCCTTCTGCATTTCTAGTTTACAGTGAACTAGAAACACAAGTTTAGTTTACAGTGAACTAGAAACACAAGTCTAGTTTACAGTGAACTAGAAACACAAGTTTAGTTTACAGTGAACTATAGAAACGCTGAAAGA